GAGATAGGTGTAGGAGACTGTTTTCATATGAATGGGCTCGACACACGGGAGGCATCATCGCTTCTCCTCCATTCATTTTCAATGAGACATGCGCAATAAAGCAATAATCGCCGGTCTCCCTCCTCCTAAACGACACGCGAAAAACGTGCACGTGAAATGTTGTGCTCGTGCATGTGTCATGTAGAGGCGAGCCAGCGACGCAATCCCAGAAAGTTGAGAAAATTTCAACTTTTCATCGCTGTTGCTCAAACAAGGACCAGTCAGCGAAGGTTTTAATGACTGACCAATGAGCGGACAGGATGCTTCTCAGTACATCTCTGGGCAAACGTAGGAAAAGTTCATACTTGTCGTGTCGTATTTCCCAGAGCTTTACAACATTTCTACAAAAGAATATAGAGCTCTGCACAAAAAGGCAGCGGCATGGGAAACTGTTGGCGAGTTAGATGTTGATGTGGTTTCTTTTTGTCTCTTTTTCTAGTTTGTAATATTGGATGAACCCATTCACATATTTTTCTGTTTTTGTATAGTAATGTCAGAGGTAAGACTTCATTTAACTCTAGCAAAACCTCGTGAGACTCCTACTGCTTTTCAACTCCAAACTGCTTTAATAACCCAACATTCCCTCCAATCTGACAGCCAGTCAAAACAATGGAGGACTTGCTATTTGCCCTGGAACAGAGTGTGGCGCTGATTTTTGCCGCTGTCTGTTGCCGCAAGCCGCCTCCCGTGTGTCAGCTTATCAAAGTGACAGCGACACGATCTCAGTCGTTTTTTTTTACCATTACAAAAAATACAATGTGTAGCAATCCTAAATTTAAATACATCAAAATCTAAAATAAAAGCAACATTTTAAACAAAGGATTTCCATTTTGAACCAAAGTGGGCCACTTGCAGGGCTGATTTAGTATTCCCGGCTGAAAATTTCCACATTCTTTTAATTAGTAATAAAAGTTTTTTTTTCTTTTACTGATTAAAAAAAATGTCGTAACAGATTTTTTTCCCTTCACTTTTCATGACACAAATCTTCTTCCATCCAGGGCAAAAAGCTAAATAATAGAATAATGGTGCTTCAAAACGGTGGAAAAAAATAAAAAGTGTGAAAAACTGAATGTCTTTTGTTTAAAACTGTCTAATGTAAATTACTATCATTCAGTATAGGTTACATTTTTTTCTTACAAGTTTCCACTCCAGCTCACTTTAAACAGTTTTTTTATTTTATTTTACAATTTAAATTTTTGATTTAGTCAGTTTTATATTATTAATAAAACTGAAAACAATGTTTTGGTACATCAAAGTCAAAAGCAAATATTGTTAACTAGTTGATTTTTTTCTTTAATATCAACAGGTTCCCTGAATAAAAGAAAGACATGTCTTAACTAAGAAGCAAGTGGAGTCTTGCATTATCCTGCGAAACAAAAGTAATAATTTGATCAGTCAAAAAAGTATCCTGTTATGAACGAGACCCAAATTCTTGCATTGCAACGTTTGAAATAAATATAATTTATGGCTTGCTAGGCTATCAAAAAAGGGCAATAGTAGGACGTTTCAAACATTCAGCAATTTAGCTACCGGTATGTTCAATCAGAAGACTCACAAAGAACAGAAAGCAATTATTGAATGAACAATACTCCCATCTAGTGGTTAGGCTTAAATACTACAACATCTCTAATGAAGGGAAGAGGCAGGCCCCTGACAAAATAATTTACGGCTTATCTATATTGTATTGTAACAGGCTGAGTTCCTCAATAATAAAATGTATCCACAAATGAATTTTTGGGTGAATCTACTTTCCGATCAAAAGTTTGGGATCACTTGGAAATGTTATTGTTTTTTAAAGTTTCAAAACTTTGCTGTCCTCAAACTAAATAAACATCATTTGCAGCATTTTCAGTCTGGAAAACCACATGTTTCCTGCAGCATTGTGATGGTTTGGCTTGATGAGTTCTTCCTCATACAATAAAGCACTCCTTCAAGGAGACAGTGCTGGATGCTAAATCAGTCAACATTGCAGCTCATTATTTCAATTTGGCTGCTAAATTTTGGCAAAATGATTTGGCTCATTTTCCTGTTGTAGGAGGAAAGTGACTCCAGTTCAGTCCACAGGATATGAATATGATCCTTCCAGTGTGAACCTTCTATTTACCTTTTATTTCCATGCTGTGCAAAAAGGGTTGTAGATTAATTTTTGATGATTTTTCCCCTCACTAAACCAAAACTCTCTCAGTAAGGAATGGGTGGATTTAGACCAAGGACAAATTAACAACACTAAAAAGCTAGACTGATGGCAATGAAATTAAAGTTTTAGTTTAATTTTTTAATGTTTTTAATTTACTTTGGTCGGTTTTATGCCGTTACAAGGTGCTATACAAATAAAGTTGCCTTGCCTAAAGACAACATTGGCATAGAAATGAATTCAAATTTGTTTTCTTTGAGTAATTAAAATAATAAGTTTGCCACATGCACAATACGTATGCAAAAATATAAAAGTTCATGGCTGAATTCAGCAAACAGAAGTCGAGGCTTTGGGTGACTGATTAATTAAAACTATAAGACCTGATAGTCAGGACTGTAAAACATGTTTAACATCTATCAACATTAATGTGCATTACATAGATTATTAAGAGACCTGCTGCGGCAAGCAGGGCCCTTTTTGTTATGCACCTGGAGAGTTTTTGGACATTAATGTCCTTTATTATTATTATTACATTAATGCGGCTTGAACGGCAGCGTGCACCTCCACAAATTATACAGCAAAACGAACAGCTTAGCCGTGGGAGGTGTGCTATTACTTTTTTAAGCATTTTATTTTAATATGGCAACATTATTAGCAAATAACTTGTGTGTGCCACTCTATATTTGCATATTTAAGTGACCTGATGCTCTGCAAGCAGTCAGGTCCTGTTTAAAATTTCTTCAGGGTTTTTCTAGTTAACTTTATTCTACAAATCCCTAATTGCCACTCCACGTTTCTCTGATACTGTCAGCCTTCCTCCCTTATATTCACACGCCCACTGCAGATACTGCAAGCTGACATGTTTAAACACATGGAGAGTGTTGCAAGTAACTTTTTCACAGAAGGAACAGGAAAGGGCAAGCTGAAGTGGGTGTTAATCCATTCCAAGTCTAACTGTCATCACAGTGATCATGTTTGTCTCATATTTTCACACAAAATCCAGGGGCCTCATTTATCAAGCTTGCTTACACACAAAACTGGGTCGGAAAACTGCGTAAGCAACGTTCCATGCAAACTTTGGGATTTATGAAAGAAAACTTAGCGGAAAAATGTGCACAACTTTAAGTTGACTAAGGACCTGGCTTACGCACATTTTGGACATGGAGAGCACCTGCAGTGCTGCTGCTGAGAAGGCAGTGTGTGTCCTGTCACTGTGACCCAATTGATCATGAGCCCTGGCTAGTAGCACAGGGGAGATCTCTGTTTGGTTGACTGGTTTGCGTGTGTAATTTTCACCCGGGAGTCTGGGATTCGAATCTCGATTGGACCTTTTTTTTAATATCCGCCACAGATCTCTCTGAAGAAGTCACAACATTGACGGCTTCAGCAACGCTGTGCAGCTCCGTGGATTTTCTCTTATTTGTTTTGCAAAAGAACTTCCTTTCATTTCTCCACCTCACCCACAAGTACCTGAATTTCTGCTTCTGTGAAATTGCACTTCCTTGATCTGCCTTGATCTACGGTCGCCATCATCATTGGCGGAGCGCTGCAACAGCCGGCTTATGTATATGCATGAGATCCACAAGGCACTTTGCGTTGACTATTTATGGCAGTAAGTGGGCGTGGTGAGGGCGGGGTGTGACTAAAATGCAGCTGAGAACCTTTCTCGTTATTCTCCGATTTATGAAGCGGAGATTGTGTGCAGCTGTGCGTACTCCATGTTTGATAGATCACAAACCTACTTGGCTTAAGTACTTTTTTTTGCTGAGCTTAAATACGGTTTTAGTAAGGATTCTACTCAATGTTTGATAAATGGTCATGGTCTTTAACTTCTCCAGAAGTTGGACACCTGCATCAAATCAAATAATCTCTGACTGGTGGGCAGCAGCAGCAGCAGCACACAGGGTGGGATAGTGAGCCTGGGGAGTGTTTACTCACCCAAACTTTAGATTTTCTCTAACACATCCATAAATGTGTGTGTAGGGGGGTGGCATGTTTGATGTTTTCACTTGTAAGAAAACTGCAAAAACAAACGCCTCCTCATGTGAGGACTCGGATATGGACCCAACAGTTGTTTAAAAGAACACACACTTTAAACCACACACACATGCAAGTCTTGTGAAAGTAGGAAGCGGTTTTGAGTGGCCCAACTTCCGTCCGGGCTAGGGATGGATTTGCAAATCATCATTGAAGTCTTAAAAGCACAAAATATTTTAATCTAATCAACAGCCAGATTTTTTAAAAATGACCATAAACAGTACATTCTGATCCATAAATGAAATTTACTGAAAAAAGGAGAATATATCATCCACACACTGATTTAGCAGCAAAGCTGTGAAAAGGAAAAGGGGCTTTTTTATTTGATATCACTGATTACATCAGATACATCTCCCAGTTTTCCTCTTTAAAGCTGCACAACAATGAGGCAAAAATCCCTTTACTTAAAATGTAAAAGTAAAGTTTGTGCAGAAAGTTTCTCTGTAATTGATTGATTTTACACATTTATATGTTTGTAAATGAAATAAAATGGATTTATTTACAAACCATCCAGTCTTCTGCAAGCAGGGCTGCACATTAACAGGCAGGTGAAAGCACAAAAACAGGTTATTTGAATGAAAAGTGCCAGTCTACATTAACTAAAGAAGACTGAAGGTAAATAACTAAAACATATGCTTTGCAACTTTCTAGCTTAAATGTTTCTTAAATGCACCTGCATGTCTGTGGGATTCAACAGAAATATAAAAGGTGTTGCAGTCAGAGAGAGCGAGAGAGAGAGAGAGGGAGAGAGAGAGAGAGGGAGAGAGAGAGAGAGAGAGAGAGAGAGAGAGAGATGTTAACAGCTGGTAGACACTCCTTTTCTCTTTAGGCGCTGCTCCGTTTCATCCACACACTCAGGGAGAATAACAGGTAAGGAACAAACTATAATTAGCACCTCGATGATCTAAGTCCTATTTTAACTCACAATAAGCAGCTTGTAAATTACTTTTTATAGTTATTGTAAATTCTGAAATCGTTTATGAGCTTTAAACCAAGTATCGATGAGAAACACGTATTTTGGTTCATATAAAAGCCGTAGTATTTTCAGGAACTAAAGTATATGCCGCTACACATTAACACGCCCTTTAAATGAACATTCAGTTTTGCCCCTAAGGCTGGTTAAATGCAAAAACTGACAATTATTTTCCCCTTTAATCCTTAGCACTAATACACTGGGTGTGTGTGTGTGTCTCATTAGTTAGTCATTAATGGGGCTAGAAGACCTTCACAGACGGGTGATTTTGGTTAAAGGTTGGACCCTGTAGTTGCTTTTCTGTCGCAAAACAAACGCAGGGAAGGAAGTCTGCGCTATATGCTGGTTTGTGATGAGGACATCTGCTTTTCTTGTAAGCAGCCAATACATGTGCAATCCCAGTGTTGCTCATTCTTTCCTACTTCGGACGTGTCTTCTGTGTTTCAGCCTGACGTCTGCCCGATGGCTGAGATAAATACAACAGCAAATCAGTCTCTAGATGCCTTCAACACCTCATGGGAAGGAGAGGCTTCAAGGGGGATCGAAATTACAGTCACCTCACTCATATTTCTGGTGAGAAACGTCATCTGTGAAGTTCCACATGCTGCCCGATAGTCCTTTGTTTAGAGTGTTATGAATGAAAAACGGAGCCTGATGGTCACTGATTGACCATGTCTATTGTTTATGATGAACTTTATTTGATGAGTGCAGAGGTGAGATCATAAAGTTACTTTTACTATCAGGAAAGATCTAGGTAAGCAATCGGAACAATCTTTTCCCGAGATAACCACCCTTGCTATTAAACAGAACATAAAACGGGCATTTGCATGTATTTGAACTGTGTCCCATGTAGCCTAATGGCTCTGCTCTTTGGCTCCTGAAGGTGGGCGTGCCTCTAAATGGACTGGTTGTTTGGGCACTTGGACTGCGGCAGCGGCGTCACCTGGTCCGCAGAGGCAGTAACGAGGAAACGCACGCTGCCAACAGTTTCAGAATATACGTACTGAACCTGGCCCTGGCCGACCTGATCCTGCTCCTGCGCACCCCTCTCATGCTTGGCTACCTGATCAACATGTACAGCTGGCCATTTGGAGAATCTTTCTGTCGCCTGATCATGTTCCTGCGCGTTCTGGGGCTTTATGCTTCGTCCTTCCTGCTGTGTGCTGTGGCCCTGGAGCGCTGCTTGTGTCTGCTGAGGCCGGTGTGGGCTCGACTTCGGCGACCCTACTGGGCCGTTCCCCTGACCTGTGGCATTTTATGGCTGATGGCCTTCATCCTGTCTGCCCCTTACATCCACTTTGCCGTTCTGTTAGAAAAGAACGGGAAATACCACTGCATCGACAGCGGGGAGTTTAACTTGGGTTTGTTCATTACAGAAACAATAGCAGGTTTCATGTTGCCCCTTGTGGTGTTCCTGGGAAGTAACCTGGCTGTTCTGGTCACCATCAATAGAACCATGCCTCCAACACCCACATCCTCATCACCAAAGATGACGCAGAGGATGAAAAGGATGTACCATGTGCTCTTTGCCACCATGCTCCTCTTCCTAACCTGCTGGGTGCCCTACTTTGTTTGTCGGTTTCTGCAGACCCTCACACCTAAAGAGTCTCCTCGCTATGAGTCGTACATAAAAGCAAAGTACATCTCTTTGTTTCTGGTGTACCTCAAGAGCGCCACCAATCCTGTGCTGTATGTGTTTGCTGCCAGAGGCCTGGGCCGCGCCGTAAAAGCTTCGCTTGTCTCTACCGTCGAACGACTTTTTAATGAAGACTCCTTTGAGTCCGTACGAAGAAAGTCACTCAAGAACTCGCAGATCTAGCCAAGAGGTCACCCATGTTTCAATTTTGCTGAAAGTTTTTTTTGTAAATTTTGTGAAAACTGTCGTCCCGTTTTGCTAAAAAAAAGCACTTTACGTCAAATATTTTATGAATGTGAGATTTTTTTACAATGTATATAAAAAGTATGTTAAAACAGGTTTTCCTAAACCAGATAATAAAGTTTTATTTTTGTTTATCTTTAAGTCGAATTTACTCACAAAGGAAGCGGGGGGAGGGGGATATCAAATGTTTTCTGCAATGATTGTAAAAAAAAAATCTGCATGTTTTTCCCATCTAAATCTGAACAAATGTGTGCTTTAAACTTGTTCTTTACTCATATTTTTAATACATTTTCAGTGGTCTCTAGTAGGAACGAAAGCCTGTTGCACCTGATTCAGGAACTAGAAGTGAGCCAGATCAGAGCTGAGCCGCACAAGAAAGGATTTGGAGACTTTTTCCTGATATTTGGACATCTCACCTCTGATTGGCTAACAGCAATGTGACTCTACCACTGACTCTGCTCTGCAACATGGATGTTTTATCTCCACAAATAACACAAGCCTGGAGTTCTGCTGTGTGGTGGGGTTACTAATGCTAACGTTTAGCTTCTACTAGCAGAGGCGTTCTGCTGTTTCCTGGACGCTAAAACAACAACAGCCTTCCCCGTCAAGATGGGTGAGTCCATGAATGTTAAGTGACAGTGTGACGTAGGTCTGACAGCCTTCGCTGTCTTCTTTCTATCAGAAGCTAACGCAGGAGACTATTTTCATGTTCAGGCTGCATGAAAAACTCAGAGTGACTGATTTTAATCAGAAATAATTAAAACATGTTTATTCAGTGAAGTAGTCCTTTAAATATATGTCTCTGCACCTCAAAGACTTTACAAGATTACATTTTCCCAGATAATCATTGCATTTGCCTGTGACCATGTGTGTTTGTTATCTAAATATCTAGAGAATCAACAGAATTAAACCGAATGAACGTCTATAGCTTATTAGCCCTCCCACTGTCTTTATGGGTGACCCCGCGACGAAAGTTGACCATTGAGCAGGATTCCCTTGAGGTCCATGTGGCAGGGGTGAGGGGGTACTCACTCTTCACCCCTGCCACGTGGACCCAAGGGATAAACCATCAACCCTGCTCAGTGGTCAACTTTCCTTGCAGGGTCACACCCATTAGGACAGTGGGAGCGTTAACTCTTGGTGTAAACCCACAAATTGGCTGCCATAGCTAATCAAAGTTAGCCAAAAGGCTGTGACAGTCGGTTTTATACTGATCTACAGTCTAAATGTGGTTTTAGCAGAGATACATTTATAGTGCATTCTCTACACTCTGACAATGTGCTAAACCACAGGTGTCAAACTCCGGTCCTCGAGGGCTGCTATCCTACACGTTTTAGTGTTTTCCCTTTTTCGACATACCTGATTTCAATCATCAGGTGATTAACAGGCCTCTGGAGGGCTTGATGAGCTGCTGCACAAGTGAATAAACTGTGTTGGAACAGGGAAACAACAAAAAGATGCTAGATACTGGCCCTCGAGGGCTGGAGTTTGATGCATGGTTATTTTTAAAGAGTCGCCGAATATGGCTCAAATTAAATTCTTAATAAAACTTTATTGCAGCAGACAAATGCATTCTGTAGAGGAATAATAATAAGGCCTTAATTGTTTGAAGGTAAATCTTTACATTCAGATGTTTCACTGTTGATATTTTAAATTTAACTAATGGCATTCTACACAAGTTCACATTCATTTTTTTGGCCCTTTTATCTTCTAATCTGAGTCACACAGAAGATGTTTAGAAATTTCCACCATCTTCCTCATGTTTAAGTGTTCGGGTGACTCTTATTCCATATTTTCTTTACATAAACATTTGATTCTAGCAACTTTTACAGCTTTTATCAAATCTTAGCTACTGTTCAGACCTCTGAAGAACACTTGCCTTCAAAGAGGTGGAGAAAAAAAAGTTTGATTTATTTGTTCCAGTGATTTGTCAAGAAAGCATGCAGCTAACGAAATACAGCTTGAAGGTGTTTCTTTAATCAGAGGACACGTTCCTGCATGTACTCAGGCACGCTGAAGGCAGGGTCAATCTCAGATATTCAGTCGTGATGAGTCACGCCTGTAGACACAAAACACTCGCAGGGAAAAAATAGAAAACAAAAACAGTTGATAGAAAGGTTCTTGGGAAACAGTTACATAAATCCTAGCCAGATAAGGCCACCAGACTGGAATAAAGGTGACACTAGAGAACGGCTGTCTTCAAGGAAGTGACATCCAAGAATTTTATATGAAAGCTTCCAGTTACTCAAGAAGATCCTCATTAATAACGTTAACTAGACCTTTTAATCCTGTGCGACTTCAAAGGGAGCAGGTGTTGAATGATTATCAAAAAATGAGGTATCCATGGTAACAGCTTCATTATAGTAAAAAAAAAACTAAAAATGTAGATAAATCCATCACACATTGAATTGCTGTTTGAGACATGGTCACATTGCAGCACTGTTGGTTGTAGGTTTGATTCCTGACCGCAGCCATTCTGCATGGAGTTGGCATGTTCCTCTCGTGCATTGTGGCTCTTCTCCAGGTACTCCAGTTTCCTCTCCGAACCAAGAACATGCATGTCAGGTTAACTGGAGACTAAACTGTCCCAAGGTGTGAGCGGGTGTTTGCATTTCCAGCCTTTACTTGAGCACAGATGTGAAATCTCACCATAAACAGATAATTAACTTTATTTGTGTGTAAAAAACAACATCCAAATGCACCACCTCTTGTCAGGGCTTTCTTTTTATTAAACAGTAAACACTTCCCCAGTAGGGTTGATAACTGACACGAGTTAGAAAAGATGAGAGGAAATCAGAAAAAATAAGGTGTTAAAGAACATTTTGAGACGCATGAGAAGAAAAAAACCACACATTCAGACAAACCAAGTGCCCCATCCACTAATGCTAACACAGATGTGCACCACAGAAAACGCAACATCTGCCCAAAGAAGCATCGTCGTTTCCTCCCTCTGACCAAGGTTCATTGCTGTGGAGTGTTTTGAAGAGCAGCTGAGCGTGTTTGTGAGCCTGCCGAAGCAGCACCTGCTCCTCCTCGCTGGCCTCTGGTTTCTGCAAGATTTTCCCCAATCTCCTGGCAGTGGTCTTGTGTTGGCTGACTGGTATGATCTTTCTCAAATGGGTCTGTGGAAAAAACAAAATAAGCTACAATGAACAGTATGAATGAACTTTCCATTGAACTGTCATTTTGTGCTTTAACTGCAAATATCAGATTTCAAATCGTTTCACAATGACACATTTCACCACGGATAACGTTTCCTGTGGAGTTTTAGAGGAAGTAGACTGACAATTTCATAGCGTATTAAAACAAAAACAGAAAAGAAAATGTGATTGAACCAAATCTGTCTTTTTAATAGGAACAGTTCTGTCATCAGCTCATGCAGATGTTGTGAAAGCGTTTTGTGCCGACTTTAAACTGACCTCTAATGTCGAGTCATCCTGGTGAGGAGGGACGGGGGGAAGCTTGAGAACAGCTTGGTCTCTTATTTTTAAAATCTGCATAAACATAGAAAGTAAGAGGCTTCAGGGCGACGTGTTGCACATCGTTTATGAAAAACTGCTTTTCTCAGCAGCTCTTAAAGATAATGATTTGCTTTTACTGCGCTGTCTACTTCGACCTGATTTCACAAGATCGCTCTAAGATCCTGCAGAAAAAGTCACATTTAAAAATGCTTTTTAGCTGAATAAGCTAAATGTCTAGACTCTAGACTTTGTGCAGAGAGCTGCAAACTACTTTTGTGTCTTAATTGCCTTGCTCTACTCTGCTCCGGCAGGTTTCGCTCAATAAAATAAAAATAAAAACTCAAAGTGCAAAACGAGGGAAAAAAAGAGCTTTTGTAAAAACTCTAATCCAGAGGTACTCAAAAGGCGGCCTGCGGGCCAGACCTTCTTTGTGGCCCCTGAACTGCCAGCACACATATTTTTACACTCACAAGAGTCCAAAATAAGTACTCCAGTGAAAAAGTATGTTCAGAACAATGCTAACATCGACAAACCTAAAATAACACTGAAAACAAAACAAAAAATTCCTTCAGGTGTGTCTCTTTCTCCCCGTAACCCGTTAGCATCCTCATATTAGCTTCACACTTTTGATCAGCATCTAACGTGATCCAGCAGGTGAATGGCTGACCCCTCTGCTGAAGTAAAGTCTTCAACTATTGTCCGATGTGTTAAAAGAGCATCTCCTATCGTAACGTTTGTAGCTTGACTCAAGATTGGAGCAGTTTGTTGATTGACGCATCAAATAGCCAATGAAATTTGGAAAACAACAGTCTCTTGCATGTGGACTTGCAAACTGATCGAGAATGATTGTGAAAAAGACTAAACCTGCATGAATGTATCAGTCACTGTCATTTGTTGGACTGATTGACAGTTGGAAGACATTTTACATACATAGATAGATGCTTGTGTGTTTTTTTCATTATAGTTCTTTTTTTTATTAAAACTCATGGTATCATTTAGAAATCATAATATTTTCTTATTAAACTCAGACGTGACAAAATCATCCCAACAGAAGCCGCTACGTTTTCTCGTATAGCCGCTGATGATTTGCAAAGTCTCTACAAAATAAGACTGGAATCAGGTTAGCTCGGTTATTACGGTCTCTGCTGCTTCAGTATGTTCTGTATCCGATGGAAGATAAGTGGGCTTGGTGTTTCTAATCACTGCCTACACACAAGAACATGACAGCCTACAGTAACTTCTCTAGGGGTTACACTACTGACCTGAACTTTTATCTACTGAAATATCGGCAGAACCATTCTCTCAGCTTTACTCTTAAACCAAAGCAAAAAAGCTCAAGTGACCATTACGTATAACATTTATCTGCAATAGCCATTCTGGTCTAGTTTTACAGATAAAACAGAAGTAACATGAGCATTGGTCCATCATCTGCATGCAGAAGAAGGTAATAACTCTGCTGCAGGCTCTGCAAAGCTAAATACCCAAGTCCAGCTTAACGAAAGTCTCACAATCGTTTCTAAAGGAAGCGTTCATCCACCAACAGGTTCCAGCCTTGACTTTTTATGGATGAAGATTTCTGCAGACTCGCCTAATCTTTTCACAACTTTAAACAATGTCTAGTTTTTTTGGTTATTTGACCGATTTATCTTTTTCTGACTGGCATTAGTAACTAATTGTTGCATGGGTTTCTTCAGTCAAAATGTGCTTTTGTTTGTACTTTATGAAATTTAGGTTGTTGCTTTTTGTTGAGGCGTAGAAACAAACTTTTCAAGGTGAAAGTATTGAATTTGTAGACTGAATGGATAAATCTAAAATAAAACAGGCAATTAATCAACTTGAATTTTTATTTTACCATAAACTATGAGTATGTGTAATTACTAAAATGAACAAATAAGGAAGTGGGAATAAATAATAACCTGAGTTTGAACAAGAGAAAAGAGTGTAATAACCAGCTGACCACCACAAAGTCTTTATTGGACCTAAAGGTGGGCGACATACGCAAAACTTATCGACAGTCGACAGATAGAAATTCTAATACTATTACTTAAATTCTATTACTCTATTGCAGTGGTATTCAATAGGCGCCCCGCGGGGCCTTTCTTTGTGGCCCTGCCCTGATTCGCCAGCACCCCCCCCCCCCCCCCCCGACTTTATGTTGATTATGAAAATGTCCTTCGGCCGATTGTATTTGAGTGCCCCTGCTCTAATCTATTATTTTCTGTGTGTAATCATAACTACATCTGATCTAAATGTTTGCAAAAGCCCACCATGTTGTATATTTGGTTAAAAATCTTATCACAATAATAATTGTCATTAACGTCCAGACATATTGAGCCTGATTGCGTTTTGCACCTGTGCAGCTTTCTTTTCCTCCTCCTCCAGCTCGTCTCTCAGCAGCCTGCATGTCTTCTCCAAAGATGCCGTCTGCTCCTCCACATTCTCCAGAACTCTGACAACAGCCTTCACGTCCTCCTGAACATGTTACATGTAACCAAATATACAGCACAAGCAGCAGAAATCAGACACCAATAGAGAACATCCATCCATCCATTGTCTGAACCCGCTTTGTCCATGTAGGGTCTCGGGGGGCTGGTGCCCATCTCCAGCGATCAATGGGCAATCAGGCGGAGTACACCCAGTACAGAGAGCCAGTCCATCGCAGGGCAACACAGAGACACACAGGGCAAACAATCATGCACACACACACACACACACACACACACACACACACACACACACACACCTAAGGACAATTTAGACAGACCAATTAACCTAACAGTCATGTTTTTGGACTGTGGGAGGAAGCTGGAGTACCGGGAGAGAACCCACGCATGCACAGGGAGAACATGCAAACTCCATGCAGAAAGATCCCAGGCCGGGAAGCGAACCCAGCCTGGGATCCCAGCGACATATGAGCAGGACCTTCTTGCTGCAAGGCAACAGCTCTAACCACTGCACCACTGCGCAGCCCCAATAGAGAACATAAAATAGCTAAATGCATACTGCATGATTTCCATATTTGATCATATGATCCCAAGCACCCTGCAGGCAGGTGAGACTTCTTTTATTGTTTTAGTATGGCGTCAGTTATCCAGCAGCAGTCTGAACCACCTGAAAAATTTGCTCTGGACATAAAAAATTAAAGTACAATCTTTGTTGTCTCATTCTTAGAACGTACAAATTTGCAACAGCTTATGTGTATTAAACTGTCTAACTGCAGCAACTATAAGAAGCAGGGTGATTTAGTGATCTGATGAGAAACTTTAAGTTTACCTCTAATCTAGAAAATCAAGACTTTACACCCTTTATTGAACAGCAGAGGGTTTAAAAGCTAGACACTGCACCCAAACAATCTGCAAAGTCTATCCAGGATTATTTAAATCAAGCAAAACCAACCAACTAGAACGAGAGATGGAACTGTTGCACACACAGAACTTAAAAAGCCGCCTTGTTCATGGAAATTACCTTCCTGGATATTTGCATTTGAGTCTGCTTGAGTTACATTCTGTGTGACAGTCCCACGACATATGAGCAACTGAGGTCTTTATCAGATTCTGCGGCAGATCTTTCTTAGTCTAGTCCACATCTGAGGGGAAACATCTCAGATACGTGTGCAGCAGGCTGGGTGCTCTCACAGTTCAGCAACTACAAACACACGCTGGAGAAAAGCAGCCCAATGCAGGCGATGTCGCTCACCTTCAGGGATCTCAGAGTCAACTTTCCAGCGGCCAACTTCCTGGTCTCTTCCCGGTGTTGCTGAGAGGAGTAAACCAAACGTGCGTGTTTCTGCACCGGAGCTTTAAGCTGTGTGCAATGAGCTAAAAACCTGACAACGGTCAGAAAATGCATCAGTCACACTTAATCAGACTTAAGGATCAGAGATGAGAACGAACAGTTCAGGTTTACTGGAGAAAAGAAAGTTAATAAATGAAGATGTTCTTTTAAATTTTTGTTGCTTCTTTCAACGTAAACTCATGTTTAGATTAAGACTGTGACAGGAAGTGACCGAAAACATGAAGGACTCTTAGGGGTAAATGCATTTTTATTACCTGTTTTTTAATAAGTTCAGATGTTCCTGGCTCACTTTATCTTTTCGCTTCATAGTGAGGGTTGTTCTGGCAAAACAAACAAAATAGTTCCTTTAATGTCAGGTTTTGTTTTGTTCACCATTTCTCATTAACTGTGTAGTTACATCTATAAATAATCTAGAGTTCAGAACATTTTAATGACCTCTAACATTGTATGTTATGTACAAATAGCTCTGAAACTGCTAGCAGAAACAGGAATGTCCCGAGTTCTTCTTATTCTGAGACGTTGACTTTATAGTTTTGAACATTTCAGCTGATTATCGAGGGTCTGTGTAAAGATCACCACATATTTGATTTAATCATCAGTTAGGGTGGATAAGAAGGATGACGAACAGATCCTGAATGAGAAGTGCGTCTCTAAACTAGTTTTTTAAGTAAAAAGAAAAAATAATTTCCAAAACAATATAAGCACAGATACTAGAGCTGTGGATCCTAAAGTCTGGCATTTGTTTTTCTTTGTTAAAGGAAACAGAGGTGACCATATTTGGCCTAAAATATTGAAAATAAGCATCATTTAAGTCTGACTCATCAAACCTGCTCCGCTGGGCCGGTTAAATGTGCAGTGTGCAGTGTTCCACAAACACAAGAGAAGGAGATGTTTTCAAATCAGGCCAACAATCCCCTCCTCCTTAGAAGGCCATTTCTCCATAACACACCTCCTCTTAGCTGGAGGAGGAGCTGCTGATCTGCTGGGGTGCTTTAAATCTCCATGTGATGGTTTAGCCCAAAGCTGCAGGTGCTGAAGTTCTGCTATGCGATTCATGAACACATGTGGATGTTTTGCACATGATGGCTGACAGGTAGACAGCGATTTTAGCTCGAAACACAGGATTTGGTGGAGGTTTGTGCAGTCACTCCTTATTCAATATAAAATACACTTTCATAACTAGAGGACGACCGATATGGTTTTTTTAAGGCAGATGCCAATACCAATTTTAAAAAAATTTTGTTGCTAATGGCTGATATCTAAAGACGATTATTAAGGCCGATATACATTTAGCAGCACATTTATTGTGAAAGACAACTGAACACTCACTGTGTGCAATGTAAATTAAATGAGTCAATAAATCTCTTACTATTTATTGAATGTTAAACAAACTCAAAACATTAAAAAAATGCTGTGTTGGAGTCCTTCGGGTCCTTTCTTCAGTCAAGTAGTGGCAGCAGTTGGCCACACAGGTGCCTGATTGTTTTTTGGGTTTTATTTTTAGCATTTAAAAATTATTTCGGCCGATAATGACAAAATTGAAAATGTCAGCCCGATATATCGGCCAGCCAATATTCAAAACTTAAAATTTCTCTAAAGAATGATCGTAAAAGTAGAATAAATATAAATATTATAATAATATGAATATATGTATTTTGAGATGTTGACTTGTGCTTAAAATATAAATCAAATAAACAAAGTGGTTTTTGGCCATTTTGCATTTTCAAAGCCCAATTAAATAGCTGTAATACTTTAATTCAGTATGCAAACAATAAGAAAATATGCATTATAATTTAACCAGTATCAAAACTAAAATTATTTAATAATCTAAGGCTTATTTTAGCAAAGATTACCGCAGCAGTGTAGAATAAGGTTTAGATTACAGGGTGAGTGGTGAAGGGCTAGAAATGATTAAATCTCATTTGGATTATGGAATAATATAGGATGATATTCTATGAAAAGTTGATTTAAAATAATTTAATCAACACAATTGTAAAGCTAAAACCGCCACAGCTGTTTTAAATAACAAGTAAAACAGAATGAGGCTCACAAAATCTGTTACTATGGTAACCATCATCACTGGATTTTAGGATGGGAAACCCTTTCCTCCCTGGAACTCTGACATTCAGCCTAAACACAAACGATCAATGTCTCTAAACAGGGTGAATGTTAAACTCACAGGATTGATAAGTCCATTATGTTCTCCATGGCACAAATGGATGAAGGTGGGAGGACCTTCCACTTGTCTTGACCTTTCACCTCCTTGGGGACTGAACGCTGACCTCCTTCAGCTAATGAACAAAAACATAAGTCATATAAATGCAACCTCGGGGACATGTTAGCTATGTTATGTATATCAAGACTAATCTGGAAGAGTCCTCCTTACCTTTCCTCTTCTGTGGAGGTTTTGAGTGGATTGGAGAATCGTCACTTTGCTCTTGGCCCTAAAATATAACATCGTGAAAAAGTTCACTAGACAGCAAATTGGTCCGCGTGTTTATCCGGTGTGTTTTGTTCTTACCTCATTCGACTTTACTTGAGCTTTCTTCCGGGATTTGTTTCTGCTGGGTGCCTGTGAGGAAGCCCGGTTAGAGCCCCGTACAGGTTTCATATTGCTAAACAAGCAGAACGAGGCTTGCTAGCTTGATGACGCCGTTAAAGAGCTCTGTGAAATATAGAACCGATGTTGTAGTGTGTAAGAATCCAAATGTTATCAAAGAAACTGGATGAATAAGATATTTTAAAAGGCCATGAATTTGTCAATCCTACTCGAATTTATTGCCAACATGGTCTGGCTTTCGCGCTTGTGTTTTGAACGAAGGCAGACTGTGCGCATGCGTTCATTTTCTTCTTCTGCATCTTCAATAGCAGTCGGCAAGCAACCTCAAGGTGCTCTACCGCCATCTACCGGAGAGGAGGGTGTTTACAGAGACAAAAATCAATAAGTGAAATAATATTAACAGCAACAACTATAACAATAAAAACTAACACAAACTAGAACAAGAACAAAAAAAACCCAGCAAACAAATTTCTTTATCTTCTTCTTCTTTGTGCGACGGTGGCACAGGAGTTAAGTGCTCGTCCCGCAATCGGAAGGTTGCAGGTTCGAGCCCCGCTCAGTCTGTCGCTGTCGTTGTGTCCTTGGGCAAGACACTTAACCCACGTTGCCTGCTGGTGGGAGGGACCGGTGGTGCCAGTGCTCGGCAGCCTCACCTCTGTCAGTGCGCCCCAGGGCAGCTGTGGCTACATCGTAGCTCATCCCCACCAGTGTGTGAATGTGTGTGCGAATGGGTGAAAGACAGGTTGTGTTGTAAAGCGCCTAGGGGGGTTCCAGGACTCTAGAAGGCGCTATATCAAATACAGGCCATTTACCATTTACCATTAATTGAGGTTTACAAACAACTTTATTGCGATATGGATCACTTCCACAGATTGTTCTGACACCCTTTTGATAAAATGCCTTTGAAAGTTATCTTTCTGCAACAAGACATCATATCTTGCACTCCATAAAACCCTGGACAGAGATCACTTTGTTCTTTAATGTATTTGCATTGCACTTTTAAAAAAATGACGTTCCAAGGTCATATGCGCTTGAAAGAGGAATTCTGGTGCAGTGTTTCTTGGGGTCCCCAGTCCCCCAAGTGGGTTCCTGGAGATTGTTTGTTGTCTACATAAATCTTTAATTACTTGAAGTTTTTCACTTTATTTGATTGATGGCCACGTACTCTGTCTATAAAGGATGTGTATTATTTAGGTCAGCTGGATGGAACTCAATCTTTTACGTGGCTTTTGAGAATAAGGATTTTTTTCGCCCTCTTTTGGACATAAGTTGTTACTATAGCCTCTATAACGCTCACGAGCACTTCCTGTAGATTCCTTCAGATTAAAACTTACCACATGAAAATACTATTGTTTGTAAATTAGTATTAACAACATAAATAGTCTAACTGGAAAACCAGAACATCTTCACTTATGCAAACTAAGCAGGAGCTAACAGCAGCTAGCTACAGCACCAGTCAATGTGTGCTATACCATAAACAACGATCAGTCGTGATGTCTGTGGAACATCTTGGCTCCTGGCAGCACAGACATACATATTTACGTATTCATGTATGCCTGGCAGCGCCAGTCCACAGGGTGTCTATCTGTGGTCTCCCTTTGGCCTTTCCCACAGGTGATGAGCCCACAGGGAGGGGGACCCACGTTTCCAAGATCCTGGTTCTGGTCTCTAGGGCCTTACATGGACAAGCACCATCTTACATTGGTGATCTTCTTAGTCCCTACACCCCCAGCAGGTCCCTGAGGTCCAGTGACAAAAGCCTACTGGTTGTGCAGCATCAGGCTAAAGACCAAAGGTGGCAGATCATTTGCTACTGTGGCCCCCAGACTCTGGAACTCTCTCCCCCTGAGATCAGTGGAATGCTTTAAAAAGCAGCTGAAAACTCTTCTGTTCAAGCTGGCTTTGGCGTGGCCTTCATCACCCTCTCCTTGCTCTGCTCTCCCTACCTATTCCACTTTCCTCAGGATCCACTGATTTCCCTCTTTCCTATTCACTCTCTTTCTTTAAATTTTTTAATCACAATTGTCTATTTTTTGCTCATTTTAAATATATTTTTAATCATTTTCTAAATTAGTTTTTATATTTTTACATTTTTTGTTTTTGTGAAGCGCCTCGTGATTTTTATCTTGAGAGGTGCTGTAGAAATGATCTTTCTTCTTCTTTCCTCTTTGGGCTGTGCCCAATCAGGCTCCATGGCGGAAAACCCATCCATCAGGCGCTCGCCAGTGTGCTCCACACCCAGGCCAGGATCCAGAGCAAGGGCCCAATGACTCACATCCGGGTAGAGTGAGGAAGCGTTGCTTCCATTTGTTGAAGGGGCTTTTGGGCAGCACTTTGTCTGATCCCTCACTTATGAGTTGATTGGCATGGGTGACTCTACCATCCTCAGACAACTTAGCTCCAAGGATCATAGGGACACTCAAACCCCTCCACTACAGCACTGGCAGCCCAGGGATGAGACTCCAGTAATAGTAAAAAAAAAATTTTTTTAAGTTGGTAAAGAAAAAGTTATTAAAGTACTGAGTAAATATTTGAAGACAGCTTATTTATTTTGTTAAACTTGTGTAATCAGAAAAAAAAGTTACAGCAAATTCCTGTGGTTTAACCTCCTGAGACCCAAATTTGTATTTGGTGCGATTTAAAAGAAAAAAGCGGATCTAGCCATTACAGGCAAGATAACCACAAATGTGTGGACACAGGGTCTTAGGAGGTTAAAAAACAAATAGGAAAAAATACAAACTAAATCATTAAATAAGAAATGAAGGTAGAAAAAAACATTCCTAAATCACTCTTAACCTGAACTTAATAGCTCAAACATATTTTCTAGTTAACCGTTTACCGGTTTTTAATAATTTCTTTTTGAAAGTGTTGCTCGCCCTGCGATGGCCTGGCAATCTGTTAAGGGTGTACCCCGCCTGTTTGCCCATAGACTGCTGGAGATAGGCACCAGCCCCCCCACAACCCTGCATGAACAAGCAGGTACAGATGACAGATGGATGTGTTGCTCATAATTATTGTGGATTTTTTGCAGAAAAGTTTAAAACACCTAAGATCTCAGTGAAAACAAGGACTTAAAATAATTTGTAGAACTTCTAAAGACCATGCCAACCCTGGATCCAGCTGACTGAAACCTTCCAGATGATACTCTGAACCACAAGTTAGTCACTATATGCAGCATGATGCTGACGCCAGGAACATCCCTTCTGTCGCCGTGACAGAAGGGATGTTCCTTCATGGTTGTAGTTTCACACCATATTTTTAATCTATGAAGGCAAGTAAAACAGCCATGCTCCCTGTTGGAAGAATCAAACCCCTCACATTTAATAATTAAAAACAACATAAAGAATGTAGTTTTTATTACTTTTTTCACCAAAGGAAAAAATGATTTTAATGAAAAATGACACTGAAACACAAGATGAAAAAAATTCAGATGGGCCTAAAAGGTTGAAACCTTTTAAAATTCTGCTAGTGTGGTCCAGAAGGTGTCGCCGCACAGCACAAAACCGTCTTTCCCGTCTGTCACACCCTTTCTGGAAAATGAAATTTGCCTGAATAGCGTCCATGATTGTGCAGGTCGAAGGGACTGAGAACCTTCCTGATACCCATCATGTTGCCCTGTGCAATCCGCTTAAAGGTCCAGGGATTCTGGTTGTTCTGCTCCTTTTCTGCCTGCATCTTCAGCATCTCTGCATGACTCTCTTTGCTCATAACCTGAAATGGGGGAAAGGAATGTAGAGCTGATGGTATAAATATGTAAAACAGACAGCAGGAACATCAGCTATACTGTTTTGACAGAAACAATGTACAACTAACAAAGTGTCAACTTGTATTCATGATCATCAGCTCAAACATTCAAAATACATCAAATTTAAAAAAAAAAGTGCGTGTGAGAAAACTGTAAACAAAGCAAGAAATAGCATGGTGTGAACTCCATCTGTGATCTCACCTTGGCAGGAAAAGGCAACTTCTTGGCCACTTCAGATAAGATGTGCTCAACCTCCCCCAGCTCCACCATTCCTCCCATCTCTATGATCAAACGTCCACACCGAACCGGGGTCACGTAGTGATCGATGGCTCCTTTACCGCCACCCATGCGCTGGCCCAGACCTTTACGGGTAATGGGTTTATACGGGGCGTTGATGCGCCACCGTGCAAACGTCGTCTTGGAATCCATCTTGCGGTTAATCGTCAGACGAATCATCTCTAGATGACCCCAGCGTAGATAGCCTCCACCCAATGCCTGAGCATCAGAAAGAGATAAAAAAAAATCCAAAGATTCAATTAATCACACCTTTTAAATAGAAAACCTACACCAGAGTATTCATGTAGAAAAATAATAAAATGATTTAGACTTGAAATCTTTCTGTTACACAATATATAAGAAAAAACAAGAAATGTGAAATATGTAACAGCTAGCTATGCTATGCTTTAGTTATCACTCAATAAGTAAATCTGCATTCATAAATGCTCTCACCACAATAGCATACTGTCCATTTATGAAGGTGTTTGAAGCCTTTGCCGGGCCTTGGATATCCCGCAGCTTCTTCATCTCTTTCTTGGCCTTTTTTAAATTTGGCACCTTGTTCAGAAACTTCAGTTTGGGTTTGCTCGGCAGAAACACATCTTCAAATCAGGGAGGGGGGAAAAAAGCACAAAAACTCATTTTAAATAAAGCTATTGAACAATGAAATCCAAAGAACACAATTAACTTTGACATTCTATTGTCTCCTCACTGTTTAAACACGTTTGTGGGTTTATTTAGATTTTTATTATTTCATGGTTTTATCTAATGGCACTCTCAATCTGAAATCACAAATAATAAGAGTATAATTAATTACCGCTGTAGTCAGGTGGGACTTGGAACGTCTTGAGCCCAGCAGGGAGGGTTTTCAAGCAGCACTGTGAAAGAACTGTTGAGGAAAAAAACACCAGATTTAGCAGGGTTATTACATGCCATTACTACTACTATGTTGCCTCTTTAAATTTTGTATTGATTTAAAAAAACTATGCAGATATCTATTAATATCAACTTATTTGTAACAAAACGTACGAAGAAAAGTCACATTAAAAGCATATGCCATTATTTCTGTGATTGTATTTCATCATACAAAATTCCTATATTCCAAAGTAACAACCTGAAATATTTCCACCTCGTGTAGCATTATAATCAGCTAGCTAGCTAGTTACCTTGCTGGTGACCGTAGACTCTGCAGACTCCTGTCAGTCCGCCGGCCGCAGACTTAATAAGGGAAATCATAATGTTAAAAGCTAAATATTTATACTTAAACGTTCCTACTTGTGGCCCAAGTATATTTAGCTCTCAAACAAACAAGGTCGCAGCCATAGCTAACTTCCGCCTGAACAAAACGCATTTCCGGTATGGAGGACTTTCAGAATAAGATGCCAAGTTTCCCGCTCTACAAGCCATTAAACAATTTAGCCAAAATGTCCTTCCTCGTGTCTCCAAAACTGTGCTTTGGCCTTTTTTTCTTAAAAGAACGTTATTGATTTCGTATTTAGTTTATTCTGTTTAATTGCTGTCAAAACCACTCTTTAATTGATTTTTTCTGCCATGAGCCAGTGCAGTGGAACATACCAAGTCCACCCAAAAAAGTCTAGTCAAAAATAAGATTTAAATTTGCAAGCTTCTAACTCAAAAATAAACTGTGTACAGGGAGAAAGGAAGAAAATATTGTTTATTGTGATACAGAAGTCTTTACATTGCAACAGTGGATTTAATTTATTTGCAGGTTGGAGTCTGATTTCCATAGGAAATAATTAGCCCAGGATAATTTCACCAAGTTTATAATATATATGCATTTTTATCACATCCACAAGAATTTAAAGATATCCTTACATCACACATTTTTCTATTGCAATAACAACTGTACATTTATAAACCAACATTATATTTTTAGCTACTCAAAAAAAATACATTGTATTTTCTGTTCTGTAGGAAGAAATAAGAACAACATGAAAAGTTTCTATTCTGACAGTTTGTACCTAAACTTGTGAAAACTTTCAACTTTCTAAATAAAATCACCTTCTTATTATTCTGCAGTTAGTGATAGTCAGGGCCATTTTGGCATGATTTTGAGAGTAATGCCACACAGCGGAAGCTAATTACTCTAAATATCATGATAGAGAAGATCGTATTTAGGAATATTTTTAGGATCTATGGGACTCTGGACTATCATTTTCCCCCTCATGGCTCCTCTGTAAATCACCTCAATCAGGTCTATGAAATCTTGTTTGGTTTTGAAACTGCCAACAAACTTGGTATGATCTGGAGACCTAAAGAGAAAACATAACAGCAACAATTAGCATATCTATAGGTTATATTTAATTATTTACAGTGCATAAATCTGTTGACTGATATAATGGCTGTATGGGTTAATGTAACTCTTTAAATATCCTGGAAAGCCACGTGTGACCATACAAGTCACTTTAGACAACTTATTTATTATTATACAAACAAATAAGTAGGGCTGAGAAAGAAACACTGATCTGATGTTTAGCAGATGATTAGCGAAAGTCAAATTTTCACTCTATTTCTCTCCCTAAACTATATTATTCGTTATTTATTACATAAGTAAACCAATCATATTCTTCAACACGAAATAAGAATGAAACCATCCATCCAAGGACGTATAATCTACAATTTGATTTGAAAATACTCATGCACCTACCCATAATCCACTTTCATGTGCTGCCCATTAAAAAAGAAAACAGTTGATGGGATGTAGCTGATATCGAAGTATCTTGTGTAAATAGGCGCTTTGTCTACATCAACGATATAGATGGACGCCATGTTACTCAGGTCATGGGCAGTTTTCGATAACTAGAAGAAAGCAAAGAACATATTTCACTACAACAATGATAACATGAGAATCTTACCAACTTGTTTATTATTAATGTGGAACTTACTATCTCATCCAGCTGGAGACAAACAGAGTCATCATCGCTTCCAAACCTCAGAACTACCACTTTTTCCGCTACACCTTTGATAGCTTCATCAATATCTTTTTTGCACGTTAATTTGGGTAAAAACAAACTCATTTTAGATGCTAACACGTTTGCTTTGACTGAAAGGAAGTGATCTTTTTGACCTCGTGCAACCCGGTAAAACATCCGTCTAGAAACTCGATCAAATGTTACTCATAATTATTGTAAAACGTATCATTTATCTTTAAACAAACATACTTACCCGATTTTATCATTAGATAAATTAAATGTCTTTTTCTGATAATGGCATTACTTTGGTTTTTATATATTTGATTACTAGTACGACACGTTAGGATGTAACACATCGTGACGTGACCTTCCACTAATGAAGCTTGTAAAACGACACACGTGGATATTTCTTGGTGATTGCTTTTAAGTTGAGCGACACAATGTCATTTGTGATAGTTTAAGGAAAAGCGAGCACGGAAGAGCCGGTCCGGTAACGATATTTTTGGGATTCCATCTTGTTTTCCCCCAAATAACGGCGACTTTTTAGACGGAAGCAACGTTTTAGCTTCATTTTCACGATGTTACGGCTGTTTACATCCAGGCATTGTAGTTTATTTTTTAAAAGTACATTTCTAACACCCCAAAAAGAACTGAGCCGTTCACTGTGGTTTAACACAGTTAAATTTGACAGAGCATCTATTCTACATCGTCACTTGTGCACCAAGAGCTCCATAGATGCCCCCAACACTGAAGGAGTTCAATCTGAGCAGTCCGAAGTAATCGATCTGGACAAATGGAAGTATGTAATGAAATCTCAAGCTTCATTTCAGGAGCAGAGACTTTCTGGAAACGAGGGACCAAGTGAAGATGCTGGTATCCTGAATGAAAGTGGTGCAGATTTAAAGGACAGCTCCTCCCTGGATGCAACTCGGGAACTGGTTTCAATGTGGCGACAAGCTGGGAAGCTTGTGCCTCAAGAGATGACTGAGGAGGAGGTACGATTACTGGCTGATCTCACCACCAAGGCCTCACGTAAGAAGTACCTGAAGTACCTGGCAATCAAGGAAGGCCACAAACTGTCACGCAAGGAAAAGCAGCAGAAAAAAAAGGCTGAAAGAGAAGCTTCAGTTAAAGAGAAAAGAGAGCTGGACATAGGAGAAAATCAAGATGGCCACAACTTTAAAAACACAATAATTCTCCAGTTCTGGGATCGCTCCTTGGACAAACTGCTGGCTTGGAGAACCGCCCAAGCAATGATTTTTGGACAACCTCTTGTGTTTGACATGAGCTATGAGTCCAACATGTCCAGACGGGAGTTAGAAAACACAGTGTCTCAACTGTTGGAGGTGGAAGGGTGGAACCGGCGTGCCCCTGATCCCTTTCACCTCCACTTCTGCAACCTGCAGCCAGATGGGACCTACAAGAAGGAGCTGGTCAAGCGGTATGGTGAAGAAACCTGGGAACGGCTGCTTATCACCACCACCAAGCAGCATTATATTGAACTGTTCCCCAGAGAACAGCTCGTATATCTCACAGCAGACTCTCCTAATGTCCTCCGTACCTTTGATCATTCAAAAGTCTACATTGTTGGAGCTCTGGTAGACAGATCCATCCAGACAGGCTTGTCACTGGCCAATGCCAAGCGTCTGAAGTTGGCTACGGCCCGTTTACCACTGGATGAGTTTCTGCACTGGGACGTTGGAGCCAAAAATCTGACTCTGGACCAGGTGATTCGCATCATGCTCACCATCAAAGAAACTGGAAAATGGGAGGAAGCATTAAAGTTTGTTCCTACGAGGAAACACGATGGCTTCCACCAAAAGCTGACACAAACCGAGAATGCCAGTAAAAGAACCACAAATCAAGGAGAGCTGGGTGGGGAAAGGAATTTCACCAAAGTACGCCCATCACTGAAAACCAACATAGAAGCTAGAAAAAGTTACAAGGTGTGGTGGCAGGACGAGTGAATTAATCATAACTTTGTAAAATAGTGTTTTTGTTATAACCTAAAAGGTTAAATCAAATGTTGTAACACATGCTTTGAGTTTTTATGCAGGCTGAACAGATGACAAGTACAAGCTATATTAAAAAGGTAAAAACTTCTTTGGTCTTTATTTTAGTCCACAGAAATCAAAATGAATAAATAAGTTTGTAATACTTTCAAAATAAAAAACATTACCTCTTATGGCAAAGAGACTTCTTTATGCAGATGACATGAACCAACATATTGTACAACTGGCTTATAAAAAAACTGCTCTTGGTTTTAAAATTAATTTAGTATAAAGCAAAAAAAAAAAAGTGACTTAAAATGAATCAAAATTCATTAAAATCCTAACAGGTTTTCTTTTAGCAACAACACTGTTCAAAGGCCGATGTACCAACAGTCCACTTTTAAAACACTAACATTCAAGTCTGTACAGCAAGTTGAAACATAGATAAATAGTATTAAGAGTTTTTAAAATCTGAAAATACTGCAGTGACAATAGAGAAAAATAATCCTGCTATTTAAGAGGCATCCACACTTATTTTCATTAACTGTCCAAATGATCCATTTAGCTTCATTTAAAGCTAAATGACTCATCGCAGCCTATTTCCTCAGCTGAGGGAAAAAAAAACTGATTCAGTTAAATAAGTGAAATTTTATCTTTTTCCTCCATGCAACACGTTAGGCTGCCCATCCTACCAGTAAACATGGTTTAAACCAGGCTACAATAAAGCTGAAATTATTTTCTATTATTGCATTAAAAATCCAAAACAAATTACTTATTTGCGTTCTTTGGATTTCAGATATTTTTAAACCATCATCTGAATCAACAAAACCTGACAAGTTTTTGTGCACTGAAACCACCAAAAAGAAAAGACAAAACATGTCCTGCCAGGTTTTGTGACATACAAGTGACGTCCAGTAAGCCAGGTGAAGATCTTTGCACCTCTACAGCACTATGATGTCCCCAGAGCAGCGCTCGCAGCAGTTAAACGTAATATTCTCATAGCGGGTGTAAGGGTGAAACCTGCCGATGCTCTTCTTGTTCAGGAAGTTTGAGGAAGTCGAATCTGTGTGCTGAAGCTCCTCCTTGCTTTCTGAACAAGTAATTGGATTTAAAATCTTCAGGACCTAAAGGACAAAATCAGTGTTTTTTTTTAAATCAGTAAAAAAAAAATATATCAGTAAAACTGATTTATTCTCTGACAGATGAGTAAAGAAAAACAGTAGTGGTACCTTCTCAGCCATCTTCTCCGCTGGTGTGCTACAGAGCTGCTCTGCCGCTGCGCTGCTGCTCTTCGTCACGCTGTCGCGGCTGCTGGTGTTCTTACCCAGCAGATGGGAGTTGATGGCATCTGCCAGCTTGTGATTAGCTGCAGCCAACTCTCCCATGCAGAGGGGCTGTGCACTGGGGTAATACGTCTGCTGTCGGCCCCACTGCAAAGACACCAGGAGCTGTTCCAGAGACCTGGTTGGTAACGAGAAAGGCAGCGTCCGCTCACTGACCAGATGCATTGATAAAAACCTCTCCTGTGCACATACTGCTTGCAAATTTAGAGTAGATGGCAGAGAATAGTCATGATTCTATAAGAAACTCCTCTCTGTCCTCCATACTGCAGGATAAATAAACTATACAGAGGATATCAATGGGAGAATGCCAAAATCAATGAAATTGCTGCAAAGACACAATCGTGTATTCAGTCCTGCCACCATGAACTGAGTTTGAGTTCCTCTTGGACTTTAAAGTGGGAGAAGTGGTGAATTACTGACTAATTATTCTGTTACCTGTGAGTGAACATCATCTCCCTAGTGAACTCCTCTCTCTCCAGCAGCAGGTCCTGGATCGCTCCTTGTGCCTCTCTGGTTTGTCTCTGCAGAGCTGCTCTGGCATTTGTCAACTCCTCTGCCATGACTCTGGAAAAATGAATAAACATTTGTGCTAAATGTTAATGCAATAAAATAAATGTGGTTATGTCATGGTTAGGGTTTGATTTTGAACGATTCCAATTCCTCGTTTCTATTCCGGTTCCTATCGATTCCCGATTCCGATTCTTTCAAGACATGACATGTTTTACATGAGCCAGCTAACCACAGGTCCTACTTGATGAAATAATCTTAACTTCAACATGAATTTTAATTCTATGAACAATAACATCACCTTCATTTAGACAGAAACATGTTTTGGAGAAAAAAAGAAAAAGACTTGCAGCACAACCAGTGTGTTTGTTTCTGACCACTACCAAAGTCTGGAAGAATCCTCTGGGATGAGAGGCTAAATGTCTCCAACATATCCAGAAACGTCCAGCTGTTTTCAGCTAAAACTCTCAGGATGATCATGTCCAGGATGACTGAGAACTACACCTCCATGCTGCAGCAGCATTCAGTCAGAACAGAAAGTGAAACTTAAACGTAGCTGCTGTCAGTAACAATGTAACAGATTTTAAACATTAAATCTCAACAGAAATAGTTCAAAAAGGGAATTAAAATGTTCAGAATCAGAAGTTTTTATTGCCATATGTGTGCCAAGTCACAACATTAGGAAATTGCTGCGGTATTTTGGTGCAGAAGGTAAGATAGAAAAAAAAATGTATTAATTAATTATGAGATAAGCAAATATAAGAACTTCACAACTTGTGTGTGATTTATTATTATTATTATTATTTATTGTGGCAGAAGCTGGTGTGGTCCACCACAGAGAATGCTGCTCTAGCATGATGACTTTAATTATTCTACAGGTTATTATTCAGCCTTCTGATGCTCACACACACACACACACGCGCACACGCACACACACGCACATGCAAGTGTTGGTGAGCGGCTGCCTCTGACTGCTGACGCTCTGTCTGTGTTTTTATTTCTGCAGTGAGACAAACTCACCTCACAACATCCAGAGTTTGTTCTTTAAAGCTTCTATTAAATCCACCGTGTTGAAGTATTTTAACAAGTTTCCTCTAAGCTGCAGGAATTTTAAGTTTACATTACGGAGTAAAAGTTCGGCAGACGCGTAGTGCCGGGTGGGAGGGACTCGGTGCTGCACAGACATCTGGTGTGATCAGCTCTGAAAAACGTTGATCACAAGTCGCAGATCACGTTTATTTTTCACGGAGATCGGCCGCGGATTCCTCTTCCGTCTGCGTTCTAGGAATCGAAATAAAAAACTTTGAACGATTCCGGGAAAAACTAACAGTTGGTCCCGGTTCCAATCGATGCTTGATGCTCGATGCCCAACCCGAAAAACCACCGACTAGTTTGTCTTATTTAGATCAAAAATCGTTTGTTGATGGCATAAGTTTAATTTGGGAAAGACCCTGTCCCAAATCAAAAACATGTCATTTCTTTCCTCATGAGTTTTCTTTTGTAGGTTAACACAACTTCTCTCATTTCTCTTGTGCTCGTGCCTGTCTTCTTGACCCTTTAGAGGTCATTCTGGACAGTAATAGCTCGGGCGAAGCGGCTGCCCAGCAGCATCCGGCTGCCTCCTCCTCAGGAGCAGCTAAAATGTCCTCTTCCTTCTGACGCTCACGCGCACACACACCCACACGAGTGTTGGTGAGCAGCTGCGTCTGACTGCTGACGCTCTGTGTGTTTTTATTTCTGGAGTGAGACTAACTCACCTCACACCGTCCAGAGTTTGTTCTTTAAAGCTTCTATTAAATCCAACATGTTGCCGTATTTTAACAAGTTTCCTCTACGCTGCAGGAGACACAGACAGCTGGTGTGATCAGCTCTGAAAAGCGTTGATCACAATTTGCAGATCACGTTTACAATCGATGCTCAATGCCCAACCCTAGTCATGGTGCTCTACATCTATACATCTGTCTTCTCATCTTTGTTGCTTTCATCCTTTAAGAATTGTGACAAGTGATTTAATATAAGAAATAAAGAATTTACAGTAAACACTTGAATAGATTATGTTGAGCATTTCTCACCTGCTGGCCAGGAACTTGCTCCTCCAGACGTCACACTGGATGTTCATGCGCTCCAGTTGCTCTGCGGTGTGGGCCAGACTTTGGCCCAGAGCTTCGTTCTCCAGAATGAGCTGGTTTTTCTCCCGGGCTTGACGCTCAAATTGGTACTCGAGGTCGTCCCCAACAGATGCTACCAGCAGTTTCTTTAGCTCACGATTCACCTGGCATACAGCATTAAGAAAATCAATAAAAGCTCTTTTTTTGTGAGAACGTGGCTAAAAAGAGCCAAATTTGAAGAACTTTAAGAAAAGTTACTAACATGCATATTCTGTAAATTTTACAACACTTGTCTTCTTTGTCCATTTAATCAATGTCTTACCTCTGTTTGCACACGGAGCTGATTGTAAAGACCTTCCTTGTCCTGAAGAAGCCTGCGTTCAGAGTTCTGCAGCTTCTCCATTTGTCCTCTCCAGTCTTCCACCAAAGGTAGTGGAGGAGAGCCTTGCTCCTCACCCTGCTGCCCTGCTTCTCCTTTTCCTTCAGATGGTCTGGTTCGGTTGCTCCGGATTATGGCAGCTCGTGGTACGATGATCCTCACAGCATCCACCTCTGTACAGGCCTCTCGACTCACCTTGCCCAGGAGGAGGACCCCGAGAGGTTGCGGGGTAGCAGCGGGTGTAACATGAGTGGATTTGGGGCTGTGTTTTGGACTGGCTATCTTGAGGAGAGGGACTTCAGATGAAACTGGTGGCAGTGGGGTGTCATTGTTAACCTCTGAGATAGCTAGTGGTTTTTCAGTTTCCATGCCATCACCAGGGCCTCGAATAGGCACACCGGCAGAACCTGAAAATAAAAACAATAACAAAGTAGTCTATAAGTAATATTTATATATATGTTGAGTGATTTTAAGTGGGCATAAATATCAGAATCAGCTGCCCTAAAATCAGGTGTGATTGCCCCGATCAGGTGCTATTATTATTTAGCATTGAGAGCTTAAAAGTCATGTGAAACATCTTTAATGTATCTGATGACTTTATGTTCTTATATCTTTCTTGATCACCATGCTTCATCAGACCAGGATTTTTTTTTTACTTTGGCTTTTAAAAGTAACTATGGACTTTGAATATTGCCTAAGACTTGTATAAATGCTGACTAGAAGAAAAATCAGGCCAATTTATGAATATTTTTGAACAAAGCAATCTCAGATCACTTAGAAGTGTGTTTCATCAGCTTGCTGAAATGAATTGTATATGTGAAACTTAAGAGATGCGTTAAAATACAAACCTCTCACAACAGCAGTCATGGTGGTGGTGAAGAAGGTAGCTCAGGTGAAACCTGGTGACTCCTTGTCCTGTGGCAAATAACGGTATATAAATTAGTTTGGTGTCAAAACTGGCAGCATACTGTTGCCATGAAAGAAAGCCGCTGGTCAGAGGTTAACTTTATCAGATAATAACGTTACAAGATATGATAGCTGGTAAGCTAACTTGTTAGCGGTTAGCTAAGAAGCTTTACTGAAGAAGTAAACGAGCAAAAACATCAAGGATTGTAAACATAATTTATTACGTGATGGTTTACTGTTAATCACTCATTTGACAATCGTCAAATCACTGGATTAAATAATACATTATTGGAAGATATACCTGTTCAACAAGGGGAAAGAATCCGAGCTCTGCTGAATTGTTTAGTTTTCCACCGGACAGTTGTTCTCTCGCGAGAAGAAGAGAGAACATGATGTACACACCGGTGTTGCGTTGAATCCGGGTTCCCCCGACCGTTGTGGTCCGTATTCTCAGTTATTTTAGAACAATTTAAGAAAAATTATTTGATATTTAATGTACCTTTTAGTTTACTGCGGTAAACGAAAGTAAAAACGCTTTCTGATGGCTAAAATCACAATTAAAGGTACATTTCCTTGTGTTCAGCAGATTATAAAACTATATATTTGCCAAATTCATATTTTTTATTGATATTATTTTGGGCCACAACATTTTTATGTTAGCTGGCTTGAAATGTATGTAAACATGCGAGGAATCAGGAGACACATTTTAATATAACACCATCACGACTTTAGTTTCCTCATATAAAAATGTCTTGTAGTGTTGATCATACAAAAAACATAAAACTAACCTAATTTCTTTACCGTTTTATTAATATTCTTGTTCAAAATATTAATAAATTGGTTATCTTTGTGCCACAGCACGAAATGCCAGAACCAAGTAGCGGAACCTTTGTTACGCGCCTCGATTTTCTTTAGGGAAGAAAATTATGCTACAAAAACGCATGAATTCCTGTTGTTTCTTTGTACTCCTGTTGTAGTTTTGTCGCAAAAACCCAGTAAAGTGAGCTCTTCGTTTATTTGGTTGCAGTTTTGAGTTGCCGTTGTTGTTAATATGGGAGTGCACGGACTGTGGAGGCTGTTGGAAAGTACAGGGAAACCCATCAACCCCGAGACTCTGGAAGGAAAGATTCTTGCTGTTGGTATCCTTGCTCTGAGATGATTTGTTTCTCGTTTATTGTTATACACCGTTGCTTTTCCATCTTTTATACGTTTTAAAGCGATTTCTTGTTTCTGTTTGCTGCTGAGCTATGTATGAACTTTAATTAGACACCTCCAGATATCAGTATATGGCTCAACCAGGCAGTGAAGGGGGTGAGGGACCGTGAAGGCAACAGTGTCCAGAACGCCCACCTCCTCACTTTATTCAACCGCGTCTGTAAACTCCTCTTCTTCCGCATCAGACCAGTTTTTGTGTTTGATGGAGATGCTCCACTGCTGAAGAAACAGACCCTGGTGAGTCAGTTTTAGATTAACGGTAACCGTCACATGCGTTTTTATTTAACACTACACGATCGGGTTCTGTAGGCTCTGAGGAGGCAAAGGAAAGAGGAGTTGACTCGTGAGTCCAAACAGACCAATGAAAAACTTCTGAAGACATTCTTAAAGAGACAAGCTCTGAAAGCCGCACTTGGAGATAAAAGGTAGGCGTTAGGGGGAGTTTGGTCTCTAAGTGGATGCTTGTGATCTTTATAACACTGGATGAAATATCCCAAATTCCCCCCACTGCTACAGTAAGGATCAGCTTTCCAGCCTCTCCAGCGTGAGGAGGGTTGAGGTGGACGACATGTATGTTCTGCCAGCTCTGCCACTTGTAGAAGAAAAGGATAAAAGCAGGTCAGAAATTGAGGTTACTACTTATGAGATGCACCATTGAAGTCTATCAGCTTTGTCAGCCAATCTGAAACTCAAAACTCTTGTTAATTTTTTTAACATCTTAGGTGTGTTCTTGCTGTGTCGCTTCTCTAATTCCATGCTGTAGTTCTTTTTTTAAAACACAGAGCAGTTCTGTTTACCTGTTTTCCCGCTACGTTTCGTTTGTGGCTGCAAACTTCCTCAGGCTGACCTTGTTAATTGTTAATTTTTTCTGAGCACACTACTGCTGTGTAATAATAATGCATCTGACTTCTCTCTAAATCTGTAGTCAACCTGTGCAGTGTCCTCTGTCTTGAGACTAAATAGATTTTTCAATCACTCAGTACCTTTAAATTAACCAGGATAAGCCTCACTGACACTAAAATCTCTTTCAGGTAAAGACAAGCAGCAAGACATGTTTCCAGACACATTCATAGATGAACAAAAACAGAAGGACCATAAAATATCATAAATATCAGTAATGAGACTGACATAAAACCAACAAATCTGTCATAAAACATCTACAAGAAGCAGCTAATTTAAGCAGCTTTTTGTCCAATTCTGTTCCCACTTTCATGACTTCAAGTAGATAGAAGTGAGGTGATTTGAGATTATTATATCCCAGAATGTTCTGTTTGACCTGGATCTGGAGATTTTGGGGAAGGAGTCTATTAATGGCTATGTTGCAGTCTTCGGAGAGACAAGGAAGTCCCGCCAACACGTTCGTACCACACGTTGTGATTCGTTAAATCTCCCATACCGGTTATAAATCTGAAAGCCAAAAAGATTATTAGCAAAATGATAAGTTGCTCTCTAAAAAGAAAGGATTATACATCTTCACTTCATAAATGTATTTTTCTTTAACACAAATTAGAGTTAACTAAGTCCTAATTATCTTTAATCAGAGATGGTTTAACCATTCACCTTGGTTGTTTTGCCTGTAGTATTGCTACTATAAATATTTAACTGGTTTATTCTCTTTGCAGCTCGTCGGAGGAGGAGGATGAAGAGAGCAGAGGAAATGAGGATAAGGTTGACAGCACTCACACATATGAGGTAAAACATGAATAAGTCATTACTTAACAGACAAGCATCACTGCTTAAACGGTCTCTGCTGAAGGATGATTTAAGAATATCCGAGTTTGTAATTTAAATTTATCTCCGTTTACAATTATTTATGCCTAGTTTGAATGAATAATAACACATTTTGGCAGCGATAGGACACTACAGGTGTGTGATCTGTAAAACATAATGAATTAATTCACTATTGGATAAGTTGTGTTTAAAGCCAGACTGCTTATTATTTCTCAGGAGGAACTGTATGAAGATCCGAACTCGGTGGACATCAACTCAGAGGAGTTTACCCACCTGCCTCCTGAAATGAAGCACGAGATACTGAAAGAAATGAAAGAGTTTTGCAAAAGACGCCGAACCATGTTTCACAAACCCCCAGAGGTACATTTATCCGATCTTCATATCCTCTTCTTTTTTTACCACTAACTTCTTTCCCTCCTCTCTCAGTGCTCGGGGGACTTTTCTCAGTACCAGCTGGCCGGCCTGCTGCAGAGGAACCGTCTGAACCAGCGTCTGGAGGGTGTGGAGAAAGAGATGAGCCAGCGTAGCGCTGGTGGAGCTCCGCAGCTCTGCCCAGAGGATGGAGATGAGCAGCGTCGCAGCATAGAGGCAAACCGTCTGGTTTCTGAAGACAACTCGCATTATATTCTTATTAAAGGTGAAAGAGATGTGAACTTGTGTTTAAAATAATCAGAATATCATCAGTAATCTCAGGTAGTGTTTTATTGGTAAAATACACGTAAACCTTCTTTTTTAATAAATACACAAGTCACCTCCTAATGTCTTTGCACACAAAGGCTCCAAACAGAAGGAAGCCACCTCAGACGGCGGACCTGCGTCTGCGCTCTGGTCTGGAAAGTCCTTGTCAGCCAATAGAAGAACTGCAGACAGACCCGAGCCGCTGTGGCGACCTGTCGGTGAAGAAGAGATGGAAGCACATGCTTCTTCCTCAAAGCCGTCTGTGTCGGACCCATCTCAGGGAGACACAGCTCCACCTTCACCTCGGACCCTCAAGGCAATCCAGGCTGCCATGAATGACAGCTCCGATGAGGAGAAGAAGCAAGGCAGCGTCTCTCCACGTACTCTCCTGGCAATCCAGCAAGCTCTAACCGAGGAGGGAGACGGAGCGAGTAGCTCGCCCACCAAGCTGCAGATGTGTCTTCATCCCCCTGTGCCTCAGGTGGTGATCAGCAGCTCAGACGAGGAGTCGCAGCCTTCGTCCAAAGAAACATCTGAATTTGAAAGAAGCATCACGCGACAAAGTTCAGACATTTCGCTGGACAGCAGCTCTGAAGAGGAGATGGAGGAAGTGATCGGACAGAGAAATAAAGCACTTCGATTGGCAGCGTTTGAACGTAGTCCCAAGAAGGAGGCGGAGTCAGAGGAGGAGCTTTTAAAAGCATCAGAGAACGTTGAAAAGCCAGAATCGGAGCGCAAGCCTGACCAAAAGAGCCAGAACACGTTAGTCATCTGTCTTCCTTCTGAGCCAATTGAAAAATCAACCAGAACCTCGACGAACATCCACCCTGCAGTCACAGAGGAGAGGAACGAGCGGCCCAGTGAAGCTGCAGATGGGACTAATGGAGATGAGGCAAAGCCAGAGGACAGCGAGTCAGAAGGTAAACGTTTTAAATCCTTTTCGTACATGTCAGAGCAATAAATGTTAAAATGTGTTTGAATGTCTTTTTTATTTTTCCCAGAAAGTTTTATTGAGGTCCCACAGGAGGAGAGTAAAGAAGGCTGTGCAGAGGATCCAGCTGTTGTAGAGAGAAGGCCTTCAGGAGAGCTCCGAGAGGATGTGACCGGGTCAGAGGGAGGATTACCCGAGGTTCCCGATCATCCGGCTCCCGGCTCAGAGGGAGAGGAGGAGTCGGAGGATAGAAGAGACACCCAATCCAAACCAGCCGCTAGTGAATGGGAACATATCGATGCGGTGAGTATTTACTAACCCAACCGTCTGTTTGACAGTTTAACCTTAAACCATTTTCTGATTAGAAGAATTTTATTATTTAACATTAAACTGATGGAGATTATGACCACAAACCTGTTTATTCTGATGTCGACCAACATGGGATTTTACTGTCAGATTATTAAAAACAGAAATACTTTGATACATTTTTAAGACTCTTATTAACATAAACAAAGGAAATGCCATTTCAGGCACCGCTGACCTTGTTCCTCTTTTTAACCCTTCAGAAATAACGACACCACCTCTGCCTGCAACCGAGATCTTTAAAGGATTCTTTTGTAACAGACTGATCTGTCAGTATTTCTTATTCTGACCTTTTTAGAAAATAATTTTTAATTTGAGGCCAACAATGAATCGTTCCAGTCCCCTCTGGTTACAGGTTAACCCCTTTAAATCAGTAGTTTCTCTAAAACTGAATCGCACTTTCATTAAGTTTGTAAAGTTGATTAAATCAGGTTTCAGGTTTACTGCTGCGTATGGAATAAAAAGCAAGATGAGACCAAAAATGAACTTGTAACTCTAAAATGTCAAAGACAAAATGTACTTTCATGTTTCAATTAGAAGAATGTCAGCGGTGTAGCACGACTGTCTCATGCTGCAGGATGAACTGGAGGCTCTGGAGAACTCTCTAGAGATGGAGCAGAGAAACCTGAGGGAGCAGAAGCAGCAGCAGGAGCGGATGGCGAACACAGTCACCGGGCAGATGTACCTGGAAAGCCAGGTGAACTAAAGAAACCACACATTACCACCTACAAACATAAACTCACCATCCTCACATGAAGCTAGCAGCTGATCTGAGACCTGATGATCCACAGCAGGTGCAATGCCACCCGGGGCCAAGTGTGGCGCATCTGCCAGACACTTAGAGCCATGATTCGGGATCGCTTCGGGTTTTTGCTGTAAATGTGCACAAGTTAATGTTGGAGCATCTGCAGGAGTATCTCCGATCATCAAAACCTGACTCTGCTGTGAAACTGTTAAAAGAGGCTGACCTTTATTAATCCCATCAGCTGTTTGATAATGAGCGATGGGATTTCTCACATAACAACAGAACACACACACACACACATCCACGGAGATTAAAAGTGTTAACAGGAGAATCTGCAACATACTGGCAGACAGTGTTAGCATCGTAAAAATCATCAGGTGACGATTTGAATTCAGGAGCTGCTGCGGCTGTTCGGCGTGCCGTTCTTGGTGGCTCCGATGGAGGCCGAGGCTCAGTGTGCAGCTCTGGACCGGGCCGACCAGACGCACGGGACCATCACCGACGACTCGGACGTGTGGCTGTTTGGAGGACGCCATGTTTATAAGAACTTCTTCAGCCAAAGCAAATACGTTGAGCACTACCAGTACAGCGACCTGCAGAGCCAGCTAGGTCAGTAGCTGCAGTCGTCTGTGTGTGTTTGCACATATTTATGTGATCAGCTCGTCTTCATTCTGTCCATTTGTAGTTTTTTTTAGGTGATTTTTAAGAGATTGCATAAAATAAAAACTGTATTTTCTATCAATTTTTGTTTCTTTCTGGCAGAAATACTCTGAAGTGCAGCAAAATACTACAATGATGTTCCATTATAGTCTGACTCTTAAATGTTTAGTTGTTTGTTTATATGTTTTTCTCCCCCCCTTTCTCCTGTTTTTATTACTATAGTGTTGTTTTTTCTCCGTCAGGCCTGGACAGGACTAAATTAATAAATCTGGCCTACTTGCTTGGAAGCGACTACACAGAGGGTGTGCCGGGAGTTGGGCACGTGACCGGCATGGAGATACTGAATGAGTTTCCGGGACCGGGGTTGGACCCACTGGTGCAGCTCAGGTTTGTTTTTTGCGTTAATTCTCAGGATTATCCATTAGCCTACTCAAATATCTTCTTTAATCTTCTGTGAACTGAGTTATTCAGTAGATTGAACAATCCCAGCATATGGATTAGGACTCTGAGTAATTGTTTAAACAATTTAAACCGTTTTTTTAATTTCTTCCTGCAGTAAATGGTGGTCAGAGGCTCAGGAGAACAGCCGTCTGGTGGCTGATCATCGAGACACGAAGGTGAAGAGGAAGCTGAGGGATTTGAAACTCCAGATGGGTTTTCCCAACCCGGCTGTTGCTCAGGCTTACCTGGAACCTGCTGTTGATCGGTCCGACGGCTCGTTCAGCTGGCGGCGCCCCCAGCTCGACTTGATTAAAGAATATCCTCTGTGAGTGCAGGTGCTGGTGCTTCTCTGTGTGTGTTTAGAAAGAGAGGAAGTTTCCTTAACTGTTGTTACATTTTGTCTGAGTCGTTTTGGTTGGAGCAGTCGAAAGACGGAGGAGACTCTTCAGCCGGTGATTAAACAGCTCAACAGCCAGCAGGTAACCAAGGGACTCAAAAACATCCAGATTTGACAGCAGTGGCTTCTAAAAGATGGCCGAAAGAATAACAGCAGTATTTATCTTTTATTTGTGACTGTTGTGTCTTAGAGTCAGATGAGAATAGACTCATTCTTCCGCTTGGAGCAGCAGGAAAAGCAGGCGATCCGCAGCCAGCGCCTCCGACGGGCCGTCACCTGCCTAAAGAGAAAAGAGAGAGAAGGCGGAGGAGGTGAAGATAGTGAAGAGGAGGAAATTAAATCCCCATCCAAGAGGGGGGGTGCGAAGAACAGCGAGGGACAGAAAGAAGAGGAAAGGTCTGTGACGGGGGCAGGAGGGTTTCTCAGTTCAGAGGTAGCTGATGAACTTCCTCTGACACCTCTAAAGGATGTCTGCCGTTCTGGTGAGTCATCCGTCGTAGCAAAGAGAGCTCGAAAAGTCAGTAGGAGCAGCAGCTCTGATGAGGACAGTGATGATGATGATGATGATGATGGTAAGAAAGTTACTATGGTTACGGCTCGATCTGTGTTTGAGGGCAACAAGCGAGGCCGGGGAGCTAAACGCAGCCGAGGGAGAGGAAAAGTGAGGGGAAAGAAGCTTTAGGGACCTCAAACCTTCACTTAAACACGCTGTCAATGAGTGAATGTTTTACTTGACTAACAGATGAACTGAGCCGTTTCTGCAAAGAAAAAAAGAGTTTTTGTAAACACTCATGTTGCTGGGGTTTGTTTTGAGGTAACTTTGTAACACAAACACATTAAACTGCAATAAAATTTGTATTTTTTCTTAATTTGTGTCTTATTTTTCTCTCTGATGTGAGATTAGTAAGGATAAACTACTTCCTTACACATTTTAGCTTCTTTACATTGTGGACATGAAGCGTAGCCTTATCAGCCAATAATAATGTGATTTAACAGAAAATTGGTTTATTGTGCATAAAAGAGAAGGAAATCAAAAGATTAGTATATAATATATTTTATGGTAAACTGAAAAGTTAACACTTTAAAATCCACGCTTGAGCCATAACGTGATGATCACCTGATAATATAAGTGTGCTATAATCCATAGAAAACAACATTTTCATTTAATCTTTCATCAAAACATCGTGTAGTCATTTATCTTATTTGGATTGTGTTTACTTTTCATCAGTATTTAAAACACACTGCTGCCCGTCTTTCCTTCCCAGTTGAGGTCCAGCTGCCAGGCGGAGCAGCTGTCGTTGTCTGTCAGCTCTCCTGCTTTAGACGCCCAGAGAGAGCTGGAAATATGGCCAGGATATGGGGCTCGGCACGGGGAGAAGTTTGGAAACCTTGTGTTTCTGTGTAAGTTAAAACCACAGAGGTCACCGTTAACAGCCGGTCACAGATCAGGATCCATGGTGGGCCACGAAGCAAGAACTGCAGTTGGCTGAGCTACTTTAGACATCCTGATTTGGACGTTCTTTCATCTGCGGCTGAAGAACTCACTTAGAAATGGAGACACGACCGTCTAAGGCCACAGAGGACTCAAAGACCAAAGAAGGTAAGGAAGGAGTTTAAACTTTAGCTCCTCAGTTTGACTTGATGCTCTAGATTCAAGCATCTTGCATCACGTGTAAGTGCAAAAACACCTAAATCATATAAATCTGCTTTAGTGGAACTGGCTTTAGAAACATTAAAATGATGAGTTGTGAATCAAGCTGGTGAGCTGTGCCCAGCACCCCATCAGCCTGTGTGGGGTGTCCTGACCTTTTAGCTAAGCCAGCATGATGTAACTAAAGTTGTGGCCATGACACAAGTGCAGGGGGCTCAGGAAGAGATTACTATATATGCCCAGAGAGCGGAGAATCAAAGTAATAGACACTAACATAATAACTGTCCCTGGATTAAAATCTGGGGGTTCCTCTGTGTTTCATTCAAACTAAAGCAACTATTAGCTTTTTTTTGTTTTTGTTTTTTGAAAATGTTGAAATTTAATCGTAAAGGTTGGAAATCTACATTTTTGTTTTGAATTTAAGTCCAGAAGTCCAGTTTTACTGGATGACAGAACCTTCAGCATATCTGAGTAAAGAGGTCATGATGAAAACGATGGTAGCGCTACTCACTTCCTGCTTTGTCACCTTATTCTGTAAAAACTATTCAGTATTTAAAAGTAAAAATAAGTCTTATAGGCTCTCTTAATTGTATGAATTTTCAAAGAAAATATTTATATGTGCATGTGGCTGCAGCATCACTGCATATTCTTCAGATTAACTTGATATACAAGAAAAGAAACAGCAGAAAATCTTAATTCACAAGAACAGAAAACAGTTAATGCTTGAACAGGACGATGCAAAGTTTCATTAAATCTAATTTCACCTCGAAAAGGATGTGTTTATCTTTTCTGAAAGCTGTGATATCCTGCACTTTGGAAGCTGTTTTGCATCTTGAGATACGAGTTAGCTTATATCTCTTTGTCGGGCTCATCATTTAATTAATATAATTAGTTTCACAGTTTGACATCAGTATAATTATCAAAGAGATTTTCTTCTGCAGATGCTGCTGGAGATGCAGAACTGGCCAAAGCCATCATGTCTCGGCGTTTCCACCCATCGACCGTTGGCCCTGAGACGTGGGAGGGATACATCTTCTCTGATCTGGAGATCCGAATCAAAGAATCCACAGACCTATACGGAGCTGTCCTCTGGCCTTCGGTTTGTCCTTTAATTATTTAGCTGCTGTCCCCTCTTTTCCTTTCAACTCCTTCCACTCAACTACTCCCTTGCTGCAGGCAATGGTGCTGTGTCATTTCTTAGAGGCCAACAGAGACGAGTACAACCTGGCAGACAGAAACGTGATCGAACTGGGAGCTGGAACAGGGCTCGTTACCATAGTAGCCAGCCTCTTAGGTAATAAAATAAATAAATCTGGTCATTTTCTTGAAAATAATCATGTTTTCACCTAGTTTCTCTCTTCAGGTGCTAAAGTCACATCCACTGACCTACCGGATGTCTTGGGAAACCTCCAGTACAACGTGGCACGTAACACCAAGGGCAGATGCAAATACATCCCTCTGGTAATTTTAAGATTTATTCTATCATCCATCCATCCATCCATTTTCTGAACCCGCTATATCCACGCAGGGTGGGGGGTGGGGGTGGGGGTGGGGGCTGGGCTGGTGCCCATCTCCAGCGATCAATGGGCAATCAGGTGGGGTACACCCTGGACAGAGAGCCAGTCCATCACAGGGCAACACAGAGACACACAGGACAAACAATCACACACACACACACACACACACACACACACACACACTCACACTCACACCTAAGGACAATTTAGACAGACCAATTAACCTAACAGTCATGTTTTTGGACTGTGGGAGGAAGCCGGAGGGCCCGGAGAGAACCCATGCATGCACAGGGAGAACATGCAAACTCCATGCAGAAAGACCACAGGCCGGGAATCGAACCCAGAACCTTCTTGCTACAAGACAACAGCTCTAACCACTGCACAGCTGATTTATTCCATCATGAAAATAAAATCAGCATCTGTTTAGATCCAAATCTCTAAATTACAAAAACAAATCCTGCAAACCTCAAACTCTTCATCAATCAGCACCTGAAGAAACCTTAAGTTTAAACACCATATTGTGTTCTACAGTATTTTCCCTAACAGAATGCTCTTTAATAACCATTTTATTAATTATGCTGGTTGCTGACTGTCTCCAGGTCACTGAGCTCATCTGGGGTCAGGAGGTGTCTCAGCGTTTCCCTTGTGCCACTCACTGTTTCGACTACATCCTAGCCGCCGACGTGGTGTATGCCCACCCTTACCTGAGCGAACTGATGGACACCTTTGACTACCTGTGTCAGGATAACACTCAGATACTGTGGGCTATGCGCTTCCGGCTGGACCCAGAGAACAGCTTCGTGGAACGCTTCCAGCAGAGGTTCCACCTGGAGGAGCTGTACAACCTCCCCAGTCTGAGCATCAGACTGTACCGGGCCTGGAGGAAGGACAAGAGGAGCAGGAACCAGAGAGAGGCTGCAGCCTGAATTCCCTAAATACACATTCTTAGTGAATTTGAAATGGGTCCACACACAGCTGAGAAGCGTGTTAAATCAGCCGACCAGTTTGTTGTTTTGAGTGAGTTAACATGGATCTGACTGCATTCTGTGGAAAACCTGGAAGATCATCTGTTTGGTGAATTTACCTGTAAATTATTCTGGTGTTTTATTGCAATGGGACATTACAGGTTTCAGTAAATAATAAAAGGTATTTTATGCACAAAGTCTTAAATGTCTTTAATTTTCCTTTTTTCCATAGAATAGATTAAATGTGGACCTAAAGTTTCATTTTTACTGTAATCAGGGGATTGTGAGTTTCCAGACATATTTCTGATGAGAATCATAAGCATTGATCAAAAGAGTTCTGAGAATGAGCCCTACATTTTATTACAATCAAAGAATAGGGAATTTTTTTTAATAATAAAAAAAAATCTGTCCCTGAACCAACCATTCATTGTGATTTGATAAAAATGTGATTGTTTCAGTACGGTGCACTGATTGATTTTGTAGACGAGTTAGGATTTTATCAGATCATCTGACGCTAGGTTAAAAAGCTCCAGACAGAATGATGACGACACATAAAATGGTTTCAGTCTGATTTTTCTACCTGGAGATAAATCCGAATCAGGAAACAAATACTGCTTTTCATTATTTTGCTTGCAGTCTGCAACTTCACCACCAGATGTCACCAAATCATTCACATTCTAATCAGCACCAATTTAAGGCGGAATCAAGGTTAAATAATCTCTCACTCCCTTCTTTATCCATCCACTGATTTGCATTATAATGTATTTAACCAGTCAGCTCCCACAACAAGAAAAGGACAAGAAATGTTTTCTTTTTGTTGCATTGCTTGTATTAAAATTTGGCAATAAGATAAAACCATGTAAAACAATATTAAGGTAAAATATTTTAAGATAATACTTTTACCTTTTCATTCAAACGTCCACATATTTTTAATTGCTTTGTGCTTTATTTTATTATTTGACATAAACAGAAATGTGTACTACCAAGCTGTATTTTATTTTTGGTTTAAAACCACGTTTGAAATGACGTGATGAGCAAAGCTAGGTTTTTACAGTTTTAGAGTTTGATAAGTCAAAACATTTGTGCTTTCAAACATTGAAGTGGGTTGAATTATTTTTCTAGATACATTATACTCACAATTTTAAATAAAGCAATCACATTAAAATGTTAAATCTGATAGTGTGTGTTTGCCCAGGAGCAAGAGACTACAGAAATGCAACAACACGTGGAAAAACAAGTAAAGACACATAGAATAATGTGCAAAAATGTAAACAAACTCAATTAGATTAAATTAATCCTATCTGTGTCATCAGCAAAGCACGTAGGCCTCCTAAATAAAACACCCCATCCATGTTAGGGAGTTTATGTGCTGCTGCAGTAACTTGAACACCAACGACACAATTTATTTCATATTTTGGAAATTCACCTGTTAGGTTATGTTGGAAAGAATAAGCTCGAGTCACTTTCTATTATTGTGACCATTTAAATCTGATACTTTAATAATCCCAAATCCTCCAAGGTTTTTAGGATCCTATAATTCCTCCTCATCTTGCTCAACACGGTGGATGCTTGATATCTGGCTGCAGAACAAGAGCCGTGTTGACGAGCTGGATTAAAAACGAACGAGGTTATCTAAGCCGATGGCAGCGAATGTGGCTGCCATTGTCGGGACAAATAACTGCTAGACAGCTGAGGGTTGAGTGCGGCCTTGTGGACGTATCACCTCACTCTGTCACTCTTTCAAAAGCCTTTCAATGCCAAAACCCTCTCAGAGAGGGACAGAGCCTAAATGCTGCCTGTCATCAAGTGAAAAACCTTTTGTCAATGAAAAACGACAAGGCTGATGGATGAACTGCTTCCTGTAAAAAGCACCCAGACGTTTCAGATTTCATGTGAAATCCATTTTGTACAACAGGACCTGAAACCAGGGGGCACTAATGTTTAGATGTAACTGAGGGAAGTCTGAAGAGGATGTTACTAGAGCCTCCTTCTCCTCTCAGGGGCTTCATACGTGCAGCCTGATCCTGTTACCTCCCAACTCTGCTGAAGCAATTGAGGCCATTGCATGAAAAGCAAATGAGTAAACACAACATGGAAACTCTCCAAGTTGTGTCTAAATTTAAACAAACTTTTTGTTTTGATGAGAAAGCCGCTTGTGCGTCAGGGAAGAAAAATCACGAAGTGATCAAAATCAGAGCGGCACGTCATATTTTAGTAATATGAATTACGGCAGAATGAATGAATTTGTGTAAATTGTGCAGTTAGGTCAAGACTTTTTGCTGCATTTTACTACACGGCTTTTCATTTTCTGATTTTTACAATAAACTCGACTTACAAGAATTGCCAGAAAGAGGCGCAGCAACATGTCACCTTTGCAGGTTTGTGTGCTGTTAGTGATTTAGTAACAACACTCACATTCCACTGCTCTCAGCCAAAATGATATCAAGCTGAACATAAATCCTAGTTAGGCTTGGCCAATCCCCCGTTTGTGAGTATTTATAAAATCCTACTAATAAAAAAATGATGCATCAGCAGCAGGATGTGGTTGATCTAAACACACGTGGTGGTTTGTTTTATAGTTTCAGTGGCATTGATGAGATGAAAGTTGATGTTGTTCATATTTTACATGAGGTTAGGCTTAATGATGATCAACCAGCTGCTCCTGACCACCAGCAGAAAGGTCCTGAACTGTGGGGAAACGAGACCTGACCTCCTTGGACGGCATTCCCATCATTCTCTACTTCCTATTGGCTCCCTGTTTGAGTCACCTTTGTTTATGGAGCTGAATCTTTGTGCCCTCTGAGTCCTGCTTGTGTTTATTTTGAATATATGCAGCTCTAAAAATACCTCAGTGTCCTTGTGATGAGGATGGGTGTGTCCTGCTGGATGCTGAGAGTCTAAAACCTTTACAGTCAGTTACTTCTGGAATCGTTCTGGGGCATTAAAGCAGCAGTGAGCCAACGCTGACTGGTAGGATACTTCTAAACTTATGCTATTTAATATATTTGGGGGGGGGGGGGGGGGGGGGGGGGATTAACAAAAACAGTGGCTCAGTGGTTAGCGCTGTTGCCTTGCAACAAGAAGGTCCTGAGTTCACATCCCAGCCTGGGGTCTTTCTGCATGGAGTTTGCATGTTCTCCCTGTGCATGCGTGGGTTCTCTCTGGGTACTCCGGCTTCCTCCCACAGTCCAAAAACGTGACTGTTAGGTTGATTGGATTTCATAAATTGTCCTTAGGTGTGTGTCTGCTTGGTTGTTTGTCCTGTGTGTCTCTGTGTTGCCCTGCAATGAACTGGCAACCTGTCCAGGGTGTACCCCGCCTGTTTGCCCAAAGACTGCTGGAGATAGGCACCAGCCCCCCCCCCCCCGCGGATAACCGGGTTTAACAAATGGATGGATGTTTTGAACTGAATGCAATAATCCTTCAAATTAAGCTTCAGTTTTTGTATTTTTGTTGTGTTTTTTCATGTCTACTAAAACAAAAAAATCACAACTCTGAAGCTTGAAAAGAGCTGAAAAAAAAGACAAAATATATTTATCGTTTGCAAAAGTAAAGTCAAAATTTTCTACTCTCATCCTGTTTTTCTGCTCAATTGCAGAGATTGCATGGATACTTTGTCCTCGTGCTTTGTGGAGGAAACAAGAGAAGAAGAGGATGAAGAGGAAAAAAAAGGTTATTGTAGAATTGTAGTTTGGTTTAAAAGCAATGATGAAATTTATATAATTTATATATTTTCAGATGATTCCCAAATAGAGGAATTGGCTTTTGGGAAGCCACAAAAGCCATCCATTTGGGCTCCATGTGTCTACTACAGACCGGGAAGGGAGGTGTACAGCTACGTAGGTCATAAGATCGTCATTGAGGAGGGCCTGGACTCGTATGCAGGCATGATATGGCCTGCGGTAAGATTTTAAACCTCAAATTGCATCACTGAATACTTTTATCTTAAGGTTCTCTTTTGCATGTTTTAATTGTATCATGATTTTTAAACTAATTAGCAGGGGGGAAATGATTGATTTCTGAATTTAAGTTATTTCCGACTTGAGTTTGTACGTCTACATGGGTGTGTTTCTGTGATGGATGCAGCACCTCTTGCCTTCCTTCTCTGACTGCAGATTTTTCCAAAAGTGGAACAACAAGTAGAGTTTTCAGTTATCGGGAATCCTTATCATTAAACCAGATTCCAGACTGGGTTTTGGAAGCAGACTTCTGGTCCACTTCTAAAATTGGAGTCAAAATTGTTCTTTTTTAAAGCTTATTTGGGCTGTTCATAGTGACTCTGGTCCATCCCTTTAGTTATGCAGCTGTCAGCCCAGGTTGCTCAGAGTCATCTCCTTAAATTCAGAGCTTTTGCCGGCATGCATATAAAACTCTTTCATGATTACCCCAACAGAGGTAACCCTTACTGGATGTGAATACTGACTGCAGTTATATTATTCAGGCTCTGGCCCTCTGCCATTACCTGGACACGCACCAGGACCAGTGGAGTCTTGTGGACAAAGCCGTTTTGGAGATTGGAACAGGAACTGGACTTGTGTCTATTGTAGCAGCACTCCTCGGTATAGATATGAATCTCTTCAATCAATCAATAGTTAGAACTGGTTATATTTTTGCTTCCTGCCCTCAGGTGGCTGGGTCACAGCAACAGACCTCCCAGATGTCCTAAACAACACGAGGGCCAACTTGAGCAGGAACACCAGGGGCCGCTGCAGACACACTCCCCAGGTGGCTGCTCTGTCCTGGGGCTACGAACTGGAGAACACCTACCCTCCATCCATCTACAGGTACGACTACGTGTTAGCCGCCGACGTGGTCTACCATCACGCCTTCCTGGATGAGCTCCTGGTCACCATGAAGCATTTCTGCAAACCTGGAACAACTCTGATCTGGGCCAACAGGGTCAGGTTTGAGTCTGATCTGGTGTTCACGGACAACTTTCACAAGGCCTTTCACTCAAATTTGCTGCTTGAAGATGGAGAGATGAAGATCTACGCGGCGACTAGTAGAGAAGGAGAAAGAGAAAAGCATGAGGATATGGAGATTCATGGGGAGGAGAAACGGGTAACAGATGAGGATGAGAGCAGTGAAGGAAAGAAGGAGTGCAAAGAAAAACTTGACTGTGCCAAACAGGAAGTTACAAAAGAAGAAGGAGGAGATGAGGAGGAAGAAAGCAGTGATGAGGAGGAAGAGTCAGGGGAGACTTTGTCACCTAGAGAGGATGATGAGCCAAAGAACAAAGATTTGATGAATGATCATGCTCCAGGTGAGTTATCAGAAATAAGATGTCACGACTATTTGAAGCTTTCAAAAGTTAATTTGTCCAAATTGGACAAAAACACAATCATTTCCCCAAATAGAGCCAAATGAAAAACATGGAAGTCGTAAACAGAAAAGGTGATTTTATTTTTTGCATTTGTGGTTTTTAGGGTCTGTTCTTCACTCTCGTGGCTGTACGTTGGTCTGACAGCTGTTTTTTCCTGTAGCAACAAACAGCTTTGAGGCTTTATCAGGCAGGCAGGTGCAGCACTAATTAAATCTGAGCTGTAAAATAAGGTCATAAGATAGTGAAGCCAAAACTATAAGAAACAGTCCAGAGATAGCACAAGGAGCCCAGAGGGGTAGAGTGTCTTAACCTAAAAGGAAGACGATCAGTGTCTTTTTTTTTTTACAGTGGTTATTCTGTCACCTAACTTGATCCCATCTTATTTAGGTTCATTTCGTTTTATAGGGAACGTCAAACTACGGATTTATTGACTTTACTAAAGCAGATGTCGGTTTCTCTCCACAGAGCCAGAGGTTACGGAGCAGAGACCTGTGCAACAGAGCTGGGTCCCCAGGATCATTTGCAGAGCTTCTAAAGACATCTACCACTACGCAGGAGAAGACATCGTCATTTATGAATCCATAGATTCATACGGAGGAATGATGTGGCCAGCTGTGAGTATTATTAAATAAAATGAAACTCTCAGAACCTCATTTATGCTATCATCAACTCAGCAATGTGCTCCTGTTTCCTTTGACCTTCAGGCGCTGGCTTTGTGCTCCTTCCTGGAGGACAACAGAAACACAGTCAACCTGCAAGGAAAGGAGGTGCTGGAGCTGGGAGCAGGAACTGGACTGGTGACTGTCGTGGCTAGCCTACTAGGTGATCACTTTGGGACACAATCAAACACACAAAACACACAAAAAACACTGAACTTCTCATTTGAATGATTTTTCTCTTAGGAGCTTCAGTCACAGCAACTGACCTCCCAGAGATTTTGGGTAACCTCAGGGCCAACGTGATGAGGAACACCAGGGGCCGCTGCAGACACACTCCCCAGGTGGCTGCTCTTTCCTGGGGCTACGACCTGGAGAACACCTACCCTCCATCCATCTACAGGTACGACTACGTGTTAGCCGCCGACGTGGTCTACCATCACGCCTTCCTGGATGAGCTCCTGGTCACCATGAAGCATTTCTGCAAACCTGGAACAACTCTGATCTGGGCCAACAGGGTCAGGTTTGAGTCTGATCTGGTGTTCACGGACAACTTTCACAAGGCCTTTCACTCAAGCTTGCTTCTTGAAGATGGAGAGATGAAGATCTACGCGGCGACTAGTAGAGAAGGAGAGGATGTTGACAAGAACAAACTCAACAGGATCAAGGCTTAAAACTGTTAAACATCTAAAAGTGGATTATCTGTGACGACTGATGTCTTATAACGCTTCATTCTTGGTCAGTAGGACTTGGATGAACAAAGATTCTGGTTACGAATAATTTATTTCCAAAAATCAAGGAACCGTTTGGGTTATTTTTGGATACACAGCTTCTCTTTAACCTCAATGAGAAACTTTTAAATATTCAGATCAATGAACTTTATTACAGCAGGAGGGATGAGCATACATGCAGCATGCATCCTGCAACTCTCAGCAGAACTTCCCTGAACTCTACACTACACCTCTCTCTCTCTCTCTCTCTCTCTCTCTCTCTCTCTCTCTATATATATATATATATATATATATATATATATATAAATTAGCAGTGCTCTGTTGCCGCCTAGTGTTCAGTTCAGTACACATTTACAATGTTCCATGTGCATTCAACAATAACAAACATACCAATATTTCCCTACAAATCCCACAGTGGTTACCTTTATGAGACAAAAAATCAGAGCTTGTGGTTACAGAAATATTCTCATTAGTGTGGGTATGTTGTCTGTGCCTCACTAAAATATTTTTTAATAATTAAAATTGCTTGGGTGCGAATTGTCTTGAAATGATTAAATGTGATTAATCAAGATTGATTATTACACAGCCCCTAGTTAACTAGATACATGTTTTAATCGAGTCCCACCCTTAATTAGAAGTGTTGGTATGTGTCTGATCCCAATGAGAGAAAAATCCACAATTTATGCACCCAATTCTTGTTTGTAGAAATCACTGAAGTTGCATGTTGTTTAGTCGTCTCTGGAAAAGGAGCATCTCAAATAAATCCATCAGAACTAGCATGACATGACTTTTTTTGCTTGGTCGAGGACCACTGGTCAGCATGTTTTAGCGGTTTTCCTGCTCCAAGACACCTGATCCTGTGGTAGATGACCTGTTCAGCAGGTCAAGCTCTGCAAAAGCCTGTAGATCTCTCACTGATTAAAATCAGGTGTGGTGAAGCAGATAAAGGAGAGGAAGTTTTATTAAATAGCACATTTCAACCAGAGGCAATTCAATGTGCTTTCCAGGTGCTATTTTGTCAAACTTAAAAGCAATAATCATATTTGGTGGCTTCATTCTTTTTTTATATAAAAAAGGCTGCAGATATAATCAAAACAATGTGTCAGTTTTGAAACGCTTTTGAAATAAACACAAGCCAGTGCCTCTTTCAACTCCTTTATTTCTGCACACTTTCTTTGTTTGGGATTTCATTTATTCCATGTCAACAGAATAATTGCAACAGTAGTTACAGGCCTTTCCCTACATGATCCAGAATATAGAATAAATGGTTACCTCATGACATTCTTTTAAGTATGAGCATTTTCTAAAGTTTTATGGCTATAAATAAAACCACTCGTGGTTCATACAAGCATTTCTGACACAAGGAGACTGACAGCAACAGATTTGAGGAGTCAGAGGTTGAAGGTGAAGTCGTGTGGTGAAAGTTAAGGCCATTTTTAGACAGACTGGCACTGGCAGCACAACACATTTTCTAAAATAAAAATAACACAAAAACAGAAACACAAGAACATTAAAAGCAAGATAAAAAACAGAAAACTTGGTGTGCAAAAGGATTTTGCCAAACAACCACAAATCTCAAGACTTTGCACGAAGCAACAAAAATGAATCCCGCTGCTCATAGATTGACCTCCAGCAAACAAAAGGCTCTAAAAGCAGCAGCTTTTACATTCTTAGACTGATCTTCCACCTGTGAGTGCTACAAACATCAGAAAAAGTCAAACCAAAACCTTCCATATAGTCTGAATTTAGGAATATTAAATATGTCATTTATCTGTTGCTAGTGAAGCCAGCTCAACAAGAAAACTCCTTTGGTTAAACTGATTTAAAAAAAAAAAATAAAACTGGATTTCACACCTTTTCTTGCAGATTAGCAAACAATACGATGATAAAGAAAACATTTTATTTTATAGCCCTCATTTGTTACATGAGTCAGATGAGTCATTTAAAAAGGACCAAACCAGTGTTTCTCTACAACTAAAGAAACATTTTTACTGACAGAAATAATGTGTGGGGATCGGCTCTACTTTTATTACTTCTGTGAAAATATAACAACAGTATATTTAATAGTGCAGAAACAAAATCTACCGTCTTGTGAGGAAGTGCAGCAAACAACCCTAACATTAAGCTAATTTCAACATGTTTAGCTGTGATATGGGTCTTAGCAGTAAAGCAAACTAATATGGGTAAAACCACTGGTGTGGTCCCTTTAAAATGATAAAATACCCCTCTAAATGGCTCCTGTTTAGGTTTTTTAGGGAGAAATGTCCAAGATATGCTGACAGGTGCACATAAAATCATTCCCAAACACACACCCTGAATCACATCTGTTAAATCCAAACAAAAAACTCTCATTTTCACATAAAGCTAGCCTTTCTTACACCTCTACTAGACATGCGTATATGCAAAATACATCGATTAAGATTACATCTGTAGTATACAACTATTGCATCTTAATATTGTGTGTTGTGTGTGTGTTTACATTATTCTTATGACACTGTGTACACATGCAGCACGCTGAATGCTACACTGGTAAGTTCTTTATATCACTGTGTGAACATTAAAACATGTGATCTGCTCCGAATGTCCTGTGGTGGCCCACCGCTGCATTATGTTACTGAGGTCGGGTAGAGTGTGGTTTTACTGTAGCAACCAGAAAAAATAATGATAAAATCATGCTGCGGAGTGTTACAGCTTGTATGTTCGACTCTTAGATGCGGATGAAGATGACCCACGTGTGGACGGAGGCTAAGATCTGTGCAGCTTCCCTCTCATTTTCATTTAATCAGAAAAGGTACACGAAGAAAGGCACCTTGAGACTGTTTTTGTGTTTGAAGACTAAACATACACCCTAAACTTGGCTGAAAAAAACAAAAAGTATCTGTCCAAGCCTTTTTTTTTAAATATCAGAAAGAGTCTGTTTGGTCTTGTAGATCAAGTCCTTCTCTCTTCTTACTAAAGCATTAACACAGCCAGGCTCAGGGTCACAGGCTGTGTGGAAAGACTTCTGATGCAGCCCTGACGCCCACACTATCAGTTTTTACACTATTTACACAAAAAAAAGGTCGAAATGACAAATTGTCCTGAAAGCCTAGGAAGATTTGTAGATAAATGTAAGTTGGTGGAATTTTTTAAAGGTTACGTTCTGGTTCAATTGACTTCATAACATCTCAAAAAAGCTTTGAAAGCCTCAAATTGTTTACTTTTTAGTTTGGGGTTTATTAACGTCTGCCTTTAAAAAAACCAGACAACATCTCGGGAGGCAGCTGGTTGGTCAGATGCACTGAACATGTGACCTGGAGGTTGTGATGTCAGAATTATTGGGACGTTTATGGCTGCCGTGCTCATGCGGGTGGGTGTTTGTGCCTAAAATGGTGTAAAGTCAGCAGGGTACATGATGGGAAGCCAGTTCTCACTGAAGGTGGCACAATGTGTCCATCCGAGATGACGCATGAGCTGAAAAACAAAGCGTAAAGTTATTTTACCAGAAGCATCTAGAAAAGAGCCGATAAGCTGACGGTGACGGCTCTGGTACCTGGATGCAGTTCTTCATGTTCTCTCTGCTCGGCTTCTCCTCGACCATTTTAGAGGCGTATTTTAAAGCTCGGCCGTACATCTTGTTCACCAGGGCGTGTTTGTATGAAAACATCAAAACCTAAACGATGAAAAAACATGAACGAAGTTTGTCAACATATAATAAAACTGAATGAATCACAAACATCTCACAGCAAAAGCATTTTTGTTTTTAAAACTTTTATTTAAAAAAAGAAAGAAAAGAAAATCTGAATAATTACGCAGCATCTGTCTACTTTAATACATTTATGAAACACATTCCCAAAAGAGTAAGTCATTGTTTTGATGTCTAAAGTACTTTCATCACCTTGGAGTCCGTTAACTCTGCCCACTTCTGCACCTCCCAAAACGTATCAGTCAAGGCCTTCGTCACGTTTAGAAGGGTGTCTTCAGAGCTGCTGGCCACCTGCTGCTCTGCAGCCTCACCTGATGCTGCCTGACCAGCACCAGCGCCGTCCTGCGTTGCAGAGGGCACCAGGAGCTGATCTGCCAGGGCGCAGCCTTTCCTACACAGTGCGTCCAACAGAGATGACTTCTGCTTCTCCATGTCCCTGAAACACAGAGGCTTGTTCACACTTCTGCTGGCAGTTAATCCTACATTATTTCTTGACCCATAAACTGATTGCTACATGAGATATGTAAGAATCAGCGTTAGATACTTGAGGTTTGCAATAATGGTGCCGAATCCCAGAAACAATAAACACGTCTTTAACATACGTCTTGATAGAAGCGGCCTCGGGTCGAGGATCTGTTTTCATGCTGAGGTAAACAGCCAAGGCGGTTTGGTCGATGTGGGAGATTACAATGTCTGCTGCAGACACCACCTCCGCCAGACGCTTCCCTCGTTCCTTAACACAAAAAAAGAGACAACTGTCAGCAAAGATGGTTGAACGGTTTAGATTTTACACAAATAAAAGCATTTCTGAGAATGTGCTCTTCTTTGTCGGGTAGGGTTAGGTTACGTACCTTTTCTAAGTCCAGCTGATGCAGCCTTTGCACGTGCAGTGGAAGGTAATCTGAGTAGTTTTCAATCAGTTCATCATAGATGGCGCTGGTTTCCAACCTGAAAGGGTGGAGAATTAAAACTAGAGGCCGACCGATGTATTCAATTTTTTCCTATATCGGCCAAAATTATTTTTGAAAGCTGATAAAAATTCTTTTTTTATTTAAATCAGGTGCCTTTTTCATTGTTTACACCTAAGGGAATATTCCACCCTTAAAGCCGGGCGTACACTGTGCGACTTTTTCACTTTTTTGAGCCGATTTTCCACTCGTGCGAGAATCCACAAGATCGGGGCGAGTTTTGCACCGAGCGTCGTGTAGTGTACAGGGGGTTACGAGAGGCGATTAACACCACATGACCAGCTACCGAACAGCAGTCGTGAGCTCGCACGGACTTCTGGTGTGTTTGATATTTTGCTCGTCCCTCGTGAGGGTATCGCACTGTTGAAGCGGCGCTGCGAGCAGCTGCGACCCAAAAAGTACCAGAACTGCTCACGGCGCATGTGCAATAATGCATCAACACCGCTCGCCCGCTATTTCCCTAATAACACACGTTGTTCATTTTTATTTCTACACGTTTTTTACTCACAAAGATTGTCAAGAAAGCATGTTTGTCGTGTTCATGTTAAATTAGACTGATCACAAAACACAGATTTACTTTCTTTATTTCGTTTTCCTCATCCAACCCCCAAAAATCCCTGTGTGTGTGTCCCTGCAGCACTCCCGAAGGACAACAGGCAAAACAAGACAAAAAAGTATGATGTGTAAAAACTGCTATTTTTAGCATATTTTTAGGTCCGACGTGTTGCTACCAGACGTACAGTGTGAGCTGTCAGGTCGCATCCAAGAACTGGGTCGTGCAGTGTGAGCACATGACTCCTGAGATCTGCCCTGCGAGGAAGTCGTACAGTTTGAGCTGAAGCTGAGTGCTACGAGTGAAAAAGTCGCACAGTGTCCGCCCAGCTTAAGTAAAATTGTGTATATTAGATTTCCCAGAGTTAGATACGCAAGAAAAAGGATTTTGTAGCTAGCAAGCTCAGTCATTCTCCTGATCTGGAAGCAGTAAGTTTTGCTTTAGCTTAGCATAAAACAATGAAAGTAAAAAGGAAAGCTCTATGCTAGAAATCCTTTCTCACTTATCTAGCTCTGGGAAATCTAACAACAGACGCAGCTTCTGAGTGAAATATCTCTAAGTTTGGTGTCTAATGTTTGCACTATTTTTATGTATAGTTGAGATTTATTTTTTTACTACAGTGTGGTAGTGTGCTTTACTTTGTGGTTTTTTTACTTGAATATTCTACCCGGGCCAGCCACTATTTTGCACCATTATTCTGGGTACCGTTTGATTCTCTTTATTTTAAACACAAGAAAAAAACTTGAATCTGTTTTATTTTCTGTCGTTCTGAAACAGGGTTAATAATGTTTGTTAATGTTTTGCGTTTGCTTTACATTTGAAGTATAATAAATATTAAGAGATTTATTTACTTATTTCATTTACATTGCACAGAGTGAGTGTTCAGTTGTTTTCCACAATCAATGTGCTGCTTTATATATCAGACTTAATAATTGGCTTTAGATATTGGCCATCGGCCACAAAATTCTTTAAAAATTGACATCGGTCGGTCTCCAAATTAAACCTGACAAAAACAGTGCTCACTTTGTCATCCACTGAATCTTTAAATCTCTCATGGCCTCAGCAAACTCATCCTTCACTTCCTTCTCTTTGTCTCCATCCTTGTCCTTCTCCTTACCCCCGTTCTTTGATTTATTAGGAGCAGGAATTAAGTGGTAGGTAACTGGAACAATATCCTGTACAGACACACACAAACCAAAAAAAATTGATCAATAAAGTATTTTTTGTAAAAACAGGACTTCCAAATCCAGCATCTCAAATGCTTCTCGTCTCCCTCCCGCTGTCATAATTTAAAACACCAAACTCTCACTGTTTTTTTCTGCTCAGATCAGCTAGGAAAAGTACATTTTATAATCCAGTGCTACAGATTTAAAATAGTAATATTAATAATTGTGTCGACCACCAGAAATACAAAGCTAATGCATAAAAACGACTATTTGCTTATTTCAGAACAGAAATACTGACATGCTTGGACATAAATGCAGGTGTATTATAATAAGCAATTTCCTGACAGAAAGAGAGCAGTGGGCGCTCTGTTGTTCAGTGTTTCTAGCTCATCCAGTACCTTTTGATATTTTCCTTGTCGTTTTGCAGAGGCCTGCCCCTGGTGGTCAAAATAACACACAGTAAGGAAGAGACAACACAAACACCAACCAAATAGGATTCTCTCTTTCTTCATTTGATTCTTCAACCTCACTCAGAGTCTGAATCCACCTATTTATCACCGATTTAACAACATCTAATTTTTACTTCCTGTTTCTTCTCGCCATTGACTCAAACAATTATGATTTGGTTGTTTACACTGAAACTATGCAGACATGAATGAGATGCAAGGAAGAGCACTTTGAAGAAAAAGATACTAATTAAAAGTTTGCAAGTCAGAAAGTTAAAGATGAAAACTTTTGTTGATTTAATTATTCGCTTGTTCAATTTGTGAACCACCATTAAAACAGGAATAAAGATTTCATTAAAGCAGATGAGAAGAACCTAATTTAAGGTGGAAAAAAAGTGAATCCCAAAGGATAAACAGCATCAACGCCTTCTGTCATCATTTGCAAGAATTTTTCCCTCCAAATTTTGGTCTTAAAAGCACAAACAAAACCAGAAAAAAACATCAGGATTCAAAAATAAGGAGGAAGGCTGGAGCACTCAACATTTCTACACTTATTTGGTCTTTGGTTACTCTGATGACCAAATAAGTGTTGAAATGTTGAGCGCTCCAGCCTTCCTCCTTATTTTTGAAAATCAGAAGGAAGCCGTCAAGCCGACTAGTTCAACAAGACCAAGTTAAACATAAATACTTTGATGATGCAAGGCCTTTTTACTCTTGGCATTAACATTCATCTTATAAGTTTTATTTCACTAAATTATTCAACAAATAATCAATCTACATCCCACTCTGCCAGGGGGAATAACAGACGGGACACCACTAACCAGTTTGGTGCAAAAAATTAAATATAAAAAATAAAGTATAAGCCTGTGCCACACCGATGTGTTTTGACATTCTTCTTCAAATAAAACACATTTTAAACTTGGGAAATTGTATTCTCTGGCTTTAACAAATCCTTCAAGTGTGTTTTGTGATGATTAAAAACAAACACTTTCCCCAAACCAATAAATAAATAAATAACCACCATCAAAGTAACCTGAACCAAAAGCTATGACAGCGTTATAGACTGTTCCCTTTCAAAGTTGCAGCAGAAGATTTTGCAAGAGCTCCTTTATTATTATTATTATTGGCAGCAATAAATGTATTTTAATAGAAAACCAGAGTGTGACAGCTCACATTTGCATACATGGCATCTCATGTACAACTCAATGTGGTCTGAGGGATTAGAGACATGTTAATGCCAGGCGTAAACAGACTCATTATCAGGTTGTTTATCTGGACTAAGGCAGAAACAACGTTAGACAGGCAAAGGTGTCTGAAATGATCAGAATATGAAGAGACGCATCAGCCTGGTTCTGTGTGAAACTTTAAAGAACCAAGAACCGGTCAGTTCAACTCTTGAAAACCACAAGTACTTCTGACATCACAGTTTAATAACTTAGTATATTTACTCCATGGTTTGCTTCTAGAATCATCTGAAACTTCCTGATTAGGGTAACCATTGTTCTCAGCAAGCCGTTGGGTCCTGATGAGAAGCTAAAGTTTACAAATCAACTGAAGAAAACCACTCACAGCTTTCTTGCCGTACTCGCTCTTGGGAACAACAAGCGAGCCTGACAGGTAGCATCCTGGACATGTCCCCTTAGGGATCCTAAAAGTAAACAAAGAAAAACCACATCACTCATGGTAGAAATGAACAAAATTGTTATTTCTGCTGTAGATTAAAACAATAAGAGTGAATAAATGATAATCTGAGATGTTTTAGAAATCTGTGAAGGGCGAAACCTCCGGACTGCTGCTTTAACCCTCAGCAGAACTAACAGAACCCCCCTCAGCTGTTAGACTCACTTGTCGTCCGGCAGACTCGTGACGTAGAACGGCTGTGTCGCACCTGGACACAAGGTGATGGAATTTGCTTTCTTCTTGGCCATGAGCGCAGCACGGTGTGTCTCGTAAACGTCCAGATTGAGGGTAGACGACAGACGATGAGAAACCACAAACGGCAGATCTTTCAGACGCTCCAGCTCGCTGGACTGCTCGTGACGGACCTGCAGTCGGACCGTGTAATCGCCCTTCTCCAGCTTTAGAGAATACTAGAGAAGTAAAACAATAAGTTCTGTCAGATCGTGAGATTTAGAAACAATTACTAACTTTTCTTTTTCGTTTTCAAAACACCAGAAGAAACTTTTTTTCCCTGTCCAAGCGTACCTGGTGTGGGTAAGCGTCCCCTGAGCCCAGCAGTCTCTTGTTCTGATCAAACAGCATCCACAGCTGACTGTCAAACTCAGACTCATACAGCAGCTCACACAGCATCGGGCAGCTGGGTGTTACCTCTCCACTCTTAGGCTGGGGAAGTAAAACAACACTTAAGTGCATATTTAAGCACTAGAAAAACTTGTATACTCTGATGGATTTGGTAGTACCTGGTGAAAGCTGTAGGTGAGGACTACTTCATACAGCTGCCTGTTGTTAGGCAGCACATCACGCGCTCCCAAGGCTTTTATCTTTGAGCTTACAGGCCTACAACAACAACACAACACACACATGAGGAAATAATAAAGAAGCTGCACTTTTAAAAACCCACACAGCTAGTGTCTAACTACAAACTCACCTTAGAGGTTGAACCCATGACTTAAGGGTGATGGTGGGCGACACCTCCTCATACCGTAGAGGCGATGACACATCAAAACTCGTCACTCCCTCAGAGGCGTGCTGGGTTGGGACAGATCAGTCAAAAACAAGTAGAGTGAGGGTTGCAGGTCGCTTTGATCTGCATAAACAGTGTGCTCTGTTCTTACAATATGCAGGGGTGAAGGAGAAATACTGAGTCCGTGGAACACCATGCTGTAGTCCACCGTGACCTCCCCTAGACTCGCCCACCAGCGAGCTACGCAGAACTCCACTACCCTGCCTGACTGCAAAAAGAAAGATTTAAAACTAAATGAAACAACAAACATGAGTGATCGAGCCAATTAAAAGCATGTAATAATAAAAATAAACACACCAGAACAGGGAAAGCCTCTGTTAGAGAACCCTTTTCTAATAATGAGGAGAACTTGTAGAACTCGTTAGCTCGATAGGCTCTCTGTTTGACCAGGTGCACCGCATGAAGAACAAATTTGGATGACACATCTCCTGAATGAGAGGTCAGAGTGATCTCTGTGGGAGAAAAACATGAAGAATGTTGGGAAAAATCAGGGCAAAAGAGGGAAAAGCAGCATTTTGATCCATCCTGGTACTCAGTCACACCTGCCAGTTCTGATTTGTAGTGTAATATGAAAATGATGGATTATACTTCCTCTCCATCCAATAAAAACTGCAATCTAATATAAAAACTAGAAGAATACTCTTTAGGCCTGCAGGGAACCGTTTTCATACGATCACATAATTCATACTAAATAGTCTTAATGTATGTAGTGACACATCTGACACACATGAATTTAAGATTTTTTCTTGCTAAATAATTATTCTTCTATTTTATTTCCCAGTACAAGCATTTAAGCAAACTTTAACAGTAGGATCTGAGTCTACATTTGACCGATTAACTGTTGTTTTTTGAAATATTATAATGCAATTTTATTATGTGAAAATAATGTTTACATTTGAACGTTTCATAAAATGTTAACATTTTTATTTTTTGATACACTGGAACTGGAAATTTAGATATTATCTATTTATACTTTGTTTAAAGTAAATTTTGCAGCATGAAAAAGATTCCTGTTTGGACGTTTGGGAAAAAAAAACTATTATTTAGATTTTTCAGGTAATTGATAATTAGTTTATTTTAAAAATCATCAAAATAACAAACGTGTCAACGATTTGGACGAAAGTTGTTCCTCCTAATACGAAGAACCTCTGCCCTCTCACTTACCTGCCCAGGACGCCCCCTGAGGAACAGTGACGAAGTGGCGTCTGATCTGTCCTGGTCGGAAGTGGACGTCTGTGAAACGCACCTCTTGAGTTCGACCATCTGCCACTCTGTTGAAATAAAAAGATGAATGAGTGACATAAATGTCCGGGGATGAGAATGAAGCTTGTAGACTGTGAGGACTTACTTGATAGGGATAATGACAGTGATCGGGACTCTGAATAGCGGACCACAGCTAGGTGCTGCTGTGTCGTATCCACAAACCTGTAAAAACAACAACACAGTGAAAACAAGCCCACACATTAGCACGAACTTCATCTTCTCAATTCTTCCTCCACATTTTATCCTCACCTCTGTGTAGTGCACTCCCTCTCTCAGCCCGATAGGATCGATGCGGATGTTGACGTGGCGACACTGATTCATCAGCTCTAGATGGGAGGGGCACTGAACCCAAGGGGCAGCACATGTGAGGGCCAGATGTAGCTGCAAGGAAATTCGCTCAGAGTTTTCTGTGAAAGAGGAAAATAACATTGAACACTAAATAAAAGCCCAATCGCACTGCAGCGCTGCTAAATACCTGTGTTTTCTGGGAAGATGGGCTCAATTCCAACTCCGTGATCTGAAGGCGTGAGAACTTGGGCTGGATCCCTGAGGTAGATGCCTCTCTGTGATCCCACGCTTACTGAGAAGCCTAGGTGGCTTGTGGGTAAAGAGGCATGCTGAGTGAGGTAGTCTAACGCTTTGTCCACCTGAGAGGGAGAGAGGAAGCAGATTCCTGAACAGCAAACACAGACCATCCATACGTTTTGTTCCGCTTATCCAGAGTTGGGTTGTGGGGGGAACAGCCTAATGGGCCATTCCCATCTGTACCGGGTCGGCCCAGGCCGGGTAGCGTAGGTTGTTTACATATCTGGGTGGCCTGGTATTTTTCCGGGCCAACCAAGGCTCATTCTCAGCCCTCTTCTCGAGGGGGTCTGCTTCAGGCCGACCAGGGCCAACACACCCACTGCTGACAGCAAATTCACACCTTCCATTAGAGCAAGCCTCTGATTGGTGGGTAGAATCAGCCCACATGGGCTTAAGACAAGGATGTGTGGAATCAACCGGGCCAGGCTGGGGCCGACTGGGGCTACCCAGCCTGGGCCGACCCGGTACAGATGGGAATGGCCCATTTGTGAAGAGGCTTAGACCTTTTTCTCCCCAGCTACTAGGGGGCACCCCAAGGTGTTCCCTGGCCAGCCGAGAGAGAGTCCCTCCAGCGTGTCCTGGGTCTTCCTTTAGCTTTCCTGCCAGTTGGACATGCCTGGAAAACCTCACCAGGGGGGCATCCAGGAGGCTTCCTGTGCAGATTCCGGAGCCACTTCAGTTGGCTCCATTTGATGTGGAGGAGCAGCGTGTCTACTCCGAGCCCCTCCCGGATGACAGAGCTTCTCCCCCTACCTCTAAGGGAGAGCCCAGCCACCCTACGGAGAAAACTAATTTCAGCCGCTTGTATCTGATCTCGTTCTTTGGGCCACTACCCAAAGCTCGTGACCATAGGTGAGGGTAGGAAAGTAGATGGTCTGGTAAATCAAGAGCTTTGCCTTCCGGCTCAGCTCTCTTTTCACCACGACAGACCGATACAATGCCCACATCACTACAGACGCAGCACCAACCCACCCATTGATCTTCCGCTCCATCTTTCCCTCACTCGTGAACAAGACCCCGAGATACTTAAACTCCTCCACTTGGGGCAGGACCTCGTCCCTGACCCAAACACAAACCATAAACCAAAAAAGACAAAGCATCACAGCCAATTTGCGAAACCTACCTGGATTATTCCATGACCCTGTGCAAACACCTCAATGTCATCAACCTTCAGAGCCGTGTTTTCCAACGCTCTTCTCACAGCAGGAGCAGAAGGACAAATCCCATTCTGCTTTAATCCTTTCTCCACAAAATAAAAAGTATACTAATTAGCGTGCGTTCACACTTGCCTTATCAAATATGAGCCTGTGACAAAGAACACACCTGAGAGGACTAGAGCGATGCCGCCACAGGCATTAGGGGATGACATAGACGTGCCGTTCATTAGCTGAGTGCCACGAAGGGTCCAGTTGGGTACAGATGCAATGGCACCGCCAGGGGCGCTGATGCTGACCCCCAGTGCCCCGTCGGTGCTGGGGCCCCTAGATGACCACGTGTACTGGTTGGGAGGAAGCTTTTCCCTTAGGGAATACTCAGCCACCATCATGTCTGGAGTAACATATGCTCCGACGCCTACGAGAAGAAAGGAGCAGGAATAAAGAAACACATGGATGCATTATAGAAAAGAGTGTTAAGAGTGTGCACCTATGACACTGCTGGTGGTTCCTCCCGGGCAGCCGACGGTGGAGAGGCAGGGGCCGTTGTTTCCTGCACTTGACACAAAAATCACATTGTGCTTCTGCACAGCCTCAGTAATGACCTCACAAATCCTCCTGAAAGGAACACATCACCAAAGACAGTCAGCAACAGCTACGCTAAACAATCTAACAACCCAAAGCCCCGGACTCACCCTGAATTAGGCCAGTGAGTGGCTTCCCCGTAGCTGTAGTTCACCAGGTCACACTTGTAGTTGATTACTTCAATCATCTGTCAGGAGCAGAAAGACACAAAGAATAAACATGTACAAAATAAAACCTCCAACTGAGCTGGGTTTTTCTATGGAGTTATACCGCGCGGATGAGCCCGGTGCCCGTTTCCATGGTGCTGAGGCGAGTGTCACCAATTTTCAATGCCAGAATTTGGGCACCAGGAGCCACGCCATTACGTTCTGGTTCCTCTGGGAAGTACCCTGCTGCAATGCTCGCCACATGTGTTCCATGAGCCCCTTGAAAAGCACATCAACACGTTTCAATGGAGATTCAAGGTTTTACAATGCAAATTTCAACAGTGAGCTGCTGTTGTCCCAAAACAATTTACCTCCACTGGTAACAATGCAGAGCATATTCCCTTCATCGTAGACATTAACAGAGTAGTTAAGCATCTCAGCTTTTCCCAAAGTAGCATACTCTTGTTTTTCTCTGTATGAGCTCAGCACGGTACACTGGGCTAGCTCTCCACACTCAGATGTGTCGACTACAGCCCTGAAAAAGTAATAATGATAAGCAACAGTAGAAAATAAAGAGGATAAGCACAGTAAATCTAATCTAAGATGGGTTTTACAGACGAGGGTGGCTTACTTCCACGTGACACCATCATGCCAAAGTATGCAGTCATACACAGGACCAGGGTCACTGTACTTCTTTTCCAGCGATGCCAGCAGCTCTGACTGATTCTGAAACTCTTCCTTCTGCAACTTTTCATTCTGGAAGGCAGAACAAAGGAGGTAATCAGCACAGAAAACAATCCTCTGGTACACACCGAGAACCTGAGCCTGTGGGTTTGACCTGTGAAGGCGTCGGATGAGCAAGGTCAAACTCTTCTGTCTTCCGGCAGACTTCAGCGAGGGCTGCTCTGTGCTGAGGATCCCAAATCTTCTCTTTTTGCTCTTTCTAACAAGCAAAAGCACAAAATATTGCAACAAAGTCCACAAATTATGGAAAGCAAGTGTAAAGTATTGCCATTTTTCATTCATTATTATTCATTTAAGTTAATCACTAAACACAAACATTTCTGAGAGTATAGCCTGTTTCCTCACTCATCACCCATAATCCTAAAAAATAAATCTACTAATCTAAAGAAATTAAGACTATGACAGAACTAGAACAGTCAGGATGTCATATATTCCTACCTGTATCCTTTCTTTAAGAGCCTTAGGGAAGAACTCAAAGCCATTTTTAACTCCAATGCGATACTTCCCTGATGGATTGACCCAGGCAGGAGGGATCTGAAAGACATAAAAAGACACAGTATGACACACAAGATCACTTGGGGAAAATAAAGACTTGAGATGTAGGGCAATAGCTCTTAACAGAAACAGAATCTCTTTGCTTATTTCATAACAATCAAAAGAAATGCCAACCTTAAGTGTTCTACCAGAGAGGCCAATGATTGTCCCATCGTTCGGTTCTACCACTGTAGTCATGGTCACATCACCGCTGCCTGTTGTGTCTATGATGTCCACAATCTTTGGTTTCCCCTCAGTTGTGACCTAAAGGAGAGGCGATAAAAGCAAATGTGTGAGCTCTGCAACTTATAATATAATATAATATAACATAATATAATATAATATAATATAATATAATATAATATAATATAATACAATTACCACATAGCTCCCTGAATGACTTCATCCTAAATGTTCCATAAATCTTCGGATATTCTCATTTGTGGGTTGTAACCTTCTTTTAGACTTGTGTCACAATGCCAAGAGATAAATGTAGGTCGTTTCAAAGATAGCTCCATGTGTGGGAATACCTCGGATCTTGCATATTTTTAGAACATAACAGCACAAGATAAACAAACGCAGGTCTAGCTTTAGCCAGTGGCTTGTGATGACTACCCTGACATAATTACTCAACTGATCTGTTTTTCTCCATTTCCTTTCAGGTCCATTCATTCGTTTTTCCACTCATAACAGACTTTAAGCTGTTAGAGTTATTATTAAGCTAACAATCGAGTATCTTGTTGTCACCCAACACCCTGTTTCATTCACAGTTGGTAGGCTAATGTTGTTTTATTTGTACCCTACCGGTGTCTGATAACACCTTGGCTTAGTTTAATTCAGTCTAACTTGATCGTTGAAATTATAATACCGTTTAATAAGACAGATGCATCGCACTGGAGATGATTTTGCCAGTTTAAGCAACTAAAAGTACTTGTATGGAACTCTAACCAAGTGACAAATGTAAACACAGTGAAGTAAATGGTCAACTTCAGCTAGCTTTCACGTTAGCATACATGTTCATAATTAAAAGTTAAATGTTTTACAGTCCAGTTGGTTGACTGTTTCATGGCAGAACAAAACATTTCCTAACGTCTACTTTGTCGTATTTAAGTTGTCATTAGGTGTTTTGGGACACTTGTTGTAGTAACAGGTTTATGTTTCACGAGTGGCTAACTGGCTAGCTGCTGCCTACGGGTAACCGTCGGCCTTTAGCTTCCCTAGCTTCCAGAAGCTCGGCCGTAGCTAACACGAGGTATCCGGTCAGATTTACCTGCATGCCGGGGGCCCCTGGATCCACGCCGGTGTCGAGGATGGCGATGAGCACCCCTCTTCCATCGTACTCAGGGAACCGGGTGAGGTAAGAGGCAGCTCCGGTTTCTTTCTTGGGGAGAAGCCCGTGAAAAGGAAATGGCTCTTCGGTAGAATGAGCAGCCATGATTAATAAAACGGAGAGCGACAATGAAAAGAAAGCAGCGAGATGGGAAGAGCCGCCGGAGAGCAACACGGTGGGTGAGACGGGGAGGAGAGCTGGTTAAAGGTGCAGCTCCTGGAAGCAGTTTCAGCTACTCCTACTATTAGTGTTGAGCTGTTTTGGTGGACTGACTGAACATTTTCACACTGTACACAGCCCAAATGGGATCGAGTAGTAAATAATGCCGTTTTTACTTTTTGTTGATCAGCTAACAAATGTAACACCAATACTGTTCATAAGTCTCTACACCAGTTACTACAGAATCTGTTTCAAAGTGCTTCTACTAGTTTATAAATCACTCCGTGGCATGAGGCCAAAATACATCTCATGGATCTCATTCCATGTGCTCAGCAGGGCTCTGAGATCCAAGCTGCTTTTAGCTACTTTGCTGCACAGATGGAATCAGTTTCCTTACGACCTCAAATGTGCCCCAACGATAGTAACTTTTAAATTAAAATTGAAAACATTCATGTATTCATCAGCGTTTGAATGAATGTTTCTTATGCTGTACCTTCTGTCAGGAATCTTGGTGTGACCTTTGACCCAGCTTTCACCCTGGATTCTTATGTCAGTTCTCTTGTTTGCTCATCCTTCTTCCATCTCAGGAACATTGCTAAGCTGAGTCCCATTCTGTCTCGCTCTGAACTTGAGACAGTTATCCACTCCTTCATTTTAGAGAAATACAGTTTATACTAATATGCTGTGGGAAAATACGGATGAATTAGAATGAAATGTCAATTTAAAGCATGAAATAAAGTATAAATATGTTTAATTCTGTCATTTTGATGTTCCAGACTTGGGTCATGCTGCTGCATGGCTGCAGTAATTTTTATTCAAAGTTGAGCTTTGTGTTTGGATGGGAAAAACAGAAAGAAAAGTCTGCAGTTACATCTCAGGCATGTGCATGGAAAGATCTGAGCAGGAAAAATGTAGAACCAGCTCCACTGAAGAAGATCAATTTCCACAAATCAAAGAAGCTAGGCCGACAGCTCCCAGCAGCGGAGCAGTGTCACACTAAGAGGCATGTAACGAATGACAAGTGTAATCTAAGTTCTGGTTTGTGGTTGCACGTTGAATGTATTATTTCTTAATTAATTTGTAATAATTTATTCTGTGTCTTTAGATAAAGGAAAAGATAGAAACATAAAATTTATTAAAACTGAAAACTGCATCCTAATTATGTCTTATTACCCTTTCCCTAGCCTTGACAGATGATGACATCCTGGAACTAAAGGCAGTGGAGCCAGAAGCTGCAGTCCTGACAAGCATGGACAACAGTGGCACAGATACAGGTTCATCAGACACGGATACAGAGGAACAAACTGGCTTGCCAGAGCCTTTGACTGCTTTATTTGACACTACACTCAGGGAGCTCTCACCACAGGAATTCAATGTAAAATGTGAAGAAACATTTCAAGGACTAAAAACTACAACGCAGCATCATCAACTAGAAAATATTTATATGTCGATGGTTGTGATGAGAAATGTTTTTATGAAAAAGAAATAAAGTCAGAAATCACATAAAAGTAGTTTGCCAATTGTTGGACACTACACATATTCTGATTCAGGAACAGTAATTCCAACTAATGTTTCATCTGCCTCAACAGCTTTAATCTACTCTAATAAAATGTGAAATATTTTGTTTGATGAGTGACCAATCAGGACTCTTAAGATAAATTGACTGTTTATAAACATCAATCTAAGATTCTGAAAAATATGTGGACAATATGATAATCCAAACTCATGATGAAGAAAGTGGCCTTCTTTTAACCAATCAACTGAAGGTTTCACAAATTATCAACATTATTTAAAACCCTGTAAATGTTTTTAGTATCTTTTTTAATTCTTATAGGCTGCTTTTAAATCAGTATTTATTCTGTGTATGTGTCAGTATATATCACTAGGTATTTCTCACATTCCATAAACCTGGTTTAAGTCATATTTTACAGACAGAACTCAGTTCATTCAGCTGGACACACGCCCATGAGTCACGGGTGAGCACAGGTGAACGCCAAGCTCTGACAAATTTGTCAAATATTGTGGTGCTGGATTGAGATAAATGTTTTTCAGTTGGTGAAATCAACATATGTGGCAGTTGGCAGTATTATGCCCCCCAGGAAGGTGAAGCAGCAATCCAAACAAAACGAAAACGACGACGAGCTTCAGTACGTGGGACAAGGAGACATGGCAGGTGCGCATGGTGACAGAAAAGAAATATCGGAGTTGATACGCTCTGTCATAAAGGAAGAGATCAGCGTTGTGGTTAATAAACTGAACGCGATTATGGATGATATTTCTACTTGTGTGAGAAGACTGGGTGATGTGGAGGAGACTTTACCTAAACTGGACAGTCGGATGTCAAAGTTGGAGTCGGAGAATGCAAGGCTGAACAAATCCAACGCCGAGCTGAGAGAGAGGACGGAGCGGCTTGAAATGCAGAGCCGCAAAAACAACCTTCGTGTGTTCGGATTATCTGGTGACATTGGAAAAACCGACCTGACTACTTATATGGACACGCTGTTTAAAGATTTGTTTAGAGGAAAACTTCTGCGGGAGCCAGAAGTGGAGATGGCGCACTGGATTGGACCTAGGAGAGACGCAGGAAGAGCGATGATGGTGCGGCTGCGGAGGCTTACAACAAAGGAGGAGATTATAAAGATAGCCAGAGAAGAACGTGTTTTCCAACTGCATGGTATGAAGCTGAAGATTTTTCCAGATCTGACCAGTGAAATGGCGAAAAAACGAGCTGGCTTCTGGGAAATAAGGAGTAAGCTGAAGAAGGCTCAGGTGAGACATGGCCTAATTCATCCCGCTACCCTGATTCTGACTTTTAAAAATGAGACAAAAAGGTTCAATGAACCGAGTGAGGCTGAAGCTTACTACAAGACTGTGATTGAACCAGGGAAGAAGGATGGAGATTGAACCAGGGAAGAAGGATGGAGAATAATATGGACCAATTAAAAACGGTTTAATGAGTGTGAAGATGGACTGTGAGATTACTGTTTAGGTTATGTGAGGATTATGTTTAATTTTTATATAAGCATTAAATAACATCGCAAGATGGAAATGATAGCCCGCATAATAAGAGTTATATAATTTGGTTATTTATGTGTCTAGAGCTGGTGTGTAAAAATGTTTTATTTCATTACAGTGTTTGAGTTTGAGATGAATGACAGTATGAATGTGTTTGGTAAAATTATAAAAATGTTACAGGAAGCTCAGTATGATTTTTGCAGGCAGGAATTTATTCTAGATTTTGGATGACAGATCATGTTTGGTTGCGGGAAAAGGGGTTTAAAATAGCTCATTTGAATGTGTGCAGTTTGAGAAATAAGGTGGCGGATGTTCAAGAAATTTTGCTAAATTATAGTTTACACGTGTTAGCAATATCAGAAACACATTTAGATGACACAATTAATAATGAAGTAGTAGGTTAGGGGCTATAATATTTATAGACTAGATAGGAATTTGTATGGTGGAGGTGTGGCCTGTTATGTTCAAAATCACATACCAGTTAGAGTAAGAACAGATTTCATGGTAACTGAAGTTGAGACACTATGGTTAGAATTGCAGATTCCTCATTTAAAAGCTGTCATTATTGGATGTTGTTACAGACCACCAAATGCTCCTATATACCACTTGGATCAGATAGGAGGTATGTTGGATAAGGCATGTGATCTGAGAAAAGAAATTTTTTTCCTAGGTGACTTTAATATTGACTGGAAATCAGGAAATTGTCCATTGAGGAATAAATTGTTTTCATTTACCAACATTTGTAATTTATCACAACTCGTGCAGGCTGATACTAGAATTCAAATGAAAAGTAATGGCAAACTTTCTACAACTTTGATTGACTTAATTTTTACCAATATGACAAATTTATGTTCTAAAGCCGTTTCGATTCCAGTGGGCTGTAGCGACCATAATTTAATTGCGGTAACAAGGAAAACAAAGATGCCTAAAAAAGGCCAATTATTTGTGTGCAGACGGATGTTTAAATACTTCAGTGAAGATGACTTCATAGAAGATGTGAGGAAAATAAGTTGGACACAGGTTTTAAGTGAAGATGATCCAGGCCAAGCAGTAGCAGTTTTCAATGAATTGTTCACAAAGGTGTTAGACAGACATGCTCCTATAAGGAAACGTGCTGTGAGAAGGGTATCTGCTCCATGGTTGGATGAAGAATTAAAAGAATATATGAGGCAGAGGGATAAACTTAAAAATGAAGCAGTAAAAACTAATAGTCCAGATAAATGGAAAGAGTATCGTAGATCACGAAACTTTGTAACTAAATTAAATAATCATAAAAAACGGTTGTATTATCAAAAAAGACTAACTGATGCAAAATCGGATAGTGCAAGATTATGGGGTACATTGAATGAAATGATGGGTAGGCATAATAGGTCAGCTCCAACTTTTTTGGATGTAGGGGGAACTTATCTCACTAAACCAACAGAAATTGCTAATTATTTAAACCAGTTTTTAACTAATAAAATTAAGTTGTTACGAGATTCTATGGAAAATAGTCAAACCAAAAATATTTCCTATCAACTAATTAAACAAAAAATAATGTTAAATAAAAACTGCCAATTTCTATTTGATAAAGTGACTGAAGACAAGGTTAAGGAGATAATATTAAAAAGTAAAAATAAACCATCTGGCATAGATAATATTGATATAAAATGGTTAAAGTTAGTAGTAGATTTTATTTCATGTCCTATTGTTCATATAATAAATGGAAGTTTTAAAGAAGGTATTTTCCCATCTCAATGGAAAACAGCAAAAATAATACCTTTAATTAAGAACAATAGAGAACCACTGTCTGGTCAAAACAGTCGACCAATAAGTTTGCTACCAGCGTTAAGTAAAATCATGGAAAAAATTGCATATGATCAAATTCAAGATTATTTTGAGGTAAATGAATTGAACACAAAATATCAACATGCTTACAAAACAAATCACTCAACCACTACTGCACTTATTCAAATAACTGATTATTGCTTAGAGAATATCGATAATAATAAGCTAATTGGTTCTATATTTCTTGATTTAAGTGCGGCTTTTGATGTT